CCTCGGTGAGCTCGCAGGGAAACATCAGGAAACGATAAGGCGGGGTCAGAAAGGTCTGAGAATTCCACACAGCTGAAATAAAGATTGAGCAAGGGGAATTAACATCAAGAAATGGGATTCAGATGTTTCGAGCCGGTCGTCTGAGCCGAGTTAATGCAACGCACCATGCTCCACTTCAAAACGCTGGGATGGTGCAGCTGGGGAGCCCTTCCCAGGGCTGTGAAATGCAGCTGAGGAGGCCTGGATACGAGCAGGGTCTGAGCGGTGAATTGGGATTAGAGCCTTTAATAGCCCTGGGCTAATTTTACCATTTCCACGGGCCGCTGGCAGGGAAAACAAACCCAGCAGCAAGGCCACATGAAGCAGCAAGGCCATCTTCACGTGTTCGAGGCTTGCCTCCTCTCTCCATCCATGAGCTGAGAAGTCTTACTCTCTTTTTTTATAACTGAGAAGCACTCTGATGACCAACACCCCTCGCTCTCTTATTTTCAGCACGTTCAGGTGAGCAGCTATCCAGCTGTGCAGGTGCTGTAGCAACACCCCTCCGTGCATCATCTGCTCATGGTAACCACTTCTTGGCTGCGGGGTGCTGTAGAGGAAAATCAGACACAACAGACATTAAGCTCTCAGATCCCAGATCTTTTCCCCACGCTATTCATATGTGTTTGCATGGCAGCTCTACATACGTCACGCTGTTCCGGGCCAAAACTCTCTCTGGTACATCTCTGGTGAAGCTAAAGACAAATCTGACACCGTGATTTGTGCTGTAAACAGACCAGGGTGTGTTCTCTTGCCCTTTGGCAAGTGGCACAGCGGAGCTCCTCTGTAGGGCAAGCTCCCCTCCCACAGCCACCCCCCAGACAAAAAAAAAAGGCTGGTTTCGTCCAGGCCCGGAGGAACAGCATCTCGGGAGGGCTCAGAGGTAAAGGCCAAGCCTTGCCAGGGGATGTGTGAGCAGCAAACCAGTGTGGCTGCCCCGCTTGAACCCATGGTACCCATGGCCAGGACAAAGCATCTCCAGCACCTGCTGATTTTGGAAGACTCCAGGTAGAGCTCAGGGTCTCTGAGCATTTCACGCCAAAGCACGCAGCTTGGATTCTCCGCCTGCGCTGTGGGAAGCCGGCTGGGTTCTGCTCCATCGCTGCTTGCTCACAATTTCCACCCGAAGCTCCTTCCTATTTCCTTTTCAGACAGGCGTAATACCCAGAGAGGCTGCACAAACTCCCCAGAAGGGCGAGGAGCGATGACACCCTCACCGCAGCGAGGCTTTGACCCTACACAGTCAGCACGGAAGCAGCCAGGCACACCTGGGCCCCGAGCCCTGAGATGTCTGCACCGTGCAGGTAGCTGCTGGCTCCCTGAGCTGTGTGTGCACAGCCCTGAGCCCTCCGGGACCTCCTCAAGCATCAGCCTTGAGATCTCCAACCCATATGGCTCCCAAGTTAGAGTGCCACTGGAGCCTGTGGCTCCGTCCTTTGCATCAGGTTTGTTTCCAGCCTGCAGGCCAGGAGAAAAGGGTCATTTGCAGCAAGCCCTGCCTGCGTTTTAGGAGTCAGCAACTTTGATAAACCCTCGACACGGCTTGCAGGCACCGCTGAGCCTCTATCTCCCGCCTGCTGCAGGAAGCCGGTCACTGTATCACAGATCAAAGCTGCTCACACCAACACAGGAAGGTTGTGCACAAGCAGAAAGGAACTACAGATGCTTGTATTTGGACGCAAGTTTTTGCTGCTGTGCACGTATTGGTCTCGAAATTTGCCCAGAAACTGCCTGAATCGATTCGGAAGAAAACACCGCCTGCGGTACCACCCAGCTTACTCACAGCCAAATTCTCCTGGTGCAGGGGCAAGCCGCTCCGTTATCAGGATGTTTGATACGACTCTGCAAAGATGGGTTTATCTGAAATTGCATTAGAGGCTTATTTAGAGCATGTAATGACCTTAAGTGGCTGCGCTTTAAAGAGGCTAACAAAAGAGTACAGGAGCTCAAACAGGCACACGTTGCAGGGAAGTAATTTCCCCCTGATACACACACAGCATCTGTGGAACAGGCAAGCGTTTATCGGGAGCCGAAGCTCATCAGAGCAGTGAATTATTTTGTGGAGCTGCAGGAAGGGAAGGGAAGGCTTTCTGCGTGTCTCCCGAAATCACAGATGCAGGCGGGCCCTTTCCAGAAGTCGCTCCTGCCGCCGGGCGCTGCTGGGATAAAGCGGAGCGAGGAATTACTGCCCAGCAGCAGGAATTACTGCCCAGAAACTTTCAGTCAGCTCGGGCAGTTTTCAGGCAAACCTCAGTGCTGCAGGAGTCACATGCCTGGCTGCTGCCGGACTGACACAGAGGAACAGACCGGCGGAGGAACGCAGCCAAGTGTGTCTCCTCTCTCTTCTCCTCTCTCCTCCCCTCCATTAAACGATAGGAAATCTGAGAAAAGACAAATAAGCCGGGTTTGTACATTGCTTAAATTGTTTCAGCGCCTCTCGCGGGCTCTTGCACACAAACAGCATTCACAAGTCGTTCGGGGCTTATTTCCTTTCAGTTCTGCATCCCCGCTCTGTTCTGGTTTACTATTCTCCGGCTCCCTGTACAAACAGGATCTTTCCCCAACAATGTTCTGCCACATCATCTTCCTTCCTTTGTATGCAGGCTGATGCTGTGTGCTCCGCGCCACGCCGCTTCCTACGGCACCTCGTTTCTCAATGCTAGCGAAAAAAATAAATAAAATAAAATAAAAAAAAAACAGGAACCAAAAGCACACTGAACTCTCGCTGTAGCTTAAAATCGGACCCCGGAAAGTTTCCGATTCGAGATGAGTTTTCAGCTAACGGATTCGTCTCGTTCAGCGCCTCGTGCACCGCACGCACAGTGCAATCCGCCCAAGCGCGCCCCTCCTGCAGGGTCCGTACCACCCTTTTTGAGCAAGGATGGTGAAAAGCGAAGCCAGCCGAGCTGAGCTGCTTCTCTGTTAACCTCTTTTCTCTCCTCTCGCTGCCTGATTTTTTTGTGCTGAGGAGATTAGATAGCATGTCTTCGGGGAGAGGAGAAAACCGCAGGGCGCGCTGCAGATTGCACAAACGCTCTTGTTATTCTGAGGCCTGAAGAAACAAGGAAGGAAGCTTGAGGCTGGTGGTTTGGCAGGTGCGAGGCCTTTTTTTTTTACACAGACAGCTGTTTTAAGTGGGAGCTCTGGGCTCGGGGATGAGCAGGGAAGGCCTGGCATCCCCACCCCTGCACTGCGCGGTGGCACCAGGGGGTTTTGGGCTCCCGACGGAGCAACGCCGCCGTGCCGCCCGCTCGTTCAAGCTGTGCTTTGGGTATTTTTTCCTGTCGGATTTGCAGAGCAAGGCTGCAAAGGGAGAGAATTTCTCCTGCAAAGCGACAACTGGCTGATGCAGCTGTTCCTGCGATGCATGAGGCAGAGGTTGGGGCCGCTGCGTTGGCGCGTAAACACAAAATGGATGAGGGCGAGCACAAAATGGGTGGAGGGGAAGGCGTAACGCCCAGCTCGACGTAGAGACCTGCTGGAAAGGGTTTGGGTGCTGCCACATCGAAATTAACTGCTCTAATCCCACGAGATCATTTCTAGTGGTTTGGGTCACGCTGCTGGTAATCCTTTTACAGTTCTGAATGAAGTGCTTCCCTTGGCAGGGCGCTGAGACACACTCTGCTAAGTCTTGCACCGAGTTTGGAGGAATTCATTAGTCTTAGGCAGTTTGTACCCACTGAAAAACGCATCTGTGATCCCCCACCTGACAAACAATTGGGAAAAGAACTGCAGGTTTTAGGGCTCTGCTACAACACCTGTGGGGAGGAAAAGGGGCTTTGCTTGGTATCCTCTCCGGAGATTCTCTGGGGCAAGCAGCCTTGAGCCAGGTTGTTACTCTAAATGACAATAGGCTCTTTCTCCTGCAGCTGACTGCTGACTTTAATGAACGCTTAGCAACTTAATTATCTTTAAAGGTGCTACTGCTCTGTTAGAGATTGCTGGAATTGGGCAGTGAATTTAAAAGTTACCAGGGGAAGGGCAGCCGCAGGGGAAGGCGCGCACAGAAACACCTGGGTACAGCTGCCATGCGACCACAGAAGCCTGATTTCCATGAGAAATCAAGCTGAAGTCATTTCAAGGTGAGGGACTGTGGTTAATCACCCCCGACACACTCATTAATGCATCCCCAAACTTGTCTCCTTGTCCACTGACAAGGGGAGTTGGCCAAGTACAGCCACAGCTTGGGGAAAGCAGAACTACAGCCACGCCATGGGCTTCAGAGAATCATGGAATTAAAAAATGGGTTGGGTTGGAAGGGACCTTAAAGGTTGTCTAGTGCCACCCCCTTGCCATGTGCAGGGACACCTCCCACCACACCAGGTTGCCCAAAGCCCCATCCAGCCTGGCCTTGAGCACCTCCAGGGATGGGGCATCCACAGCTTCTCTGGGCAGCCTGTGCCAGGGCCTCACCGCCCTCTGGGTGAAGAATTTCCTCCTAATATCTCATCTACCTCTCCCCTTTTTTTAATTTAAAGCCATTCCCCCTTGTCCTGTCATTATCTGCCCGAGTAAAAGTTCACGGGAACTGCTGTGTGTGCTGCCATGTCCCAAGGTTTCACAGCGTCGTGCTGGCTCAGAGCAGGGTGCTGGGGACACGGTGGCACTGCTCACCTCCTGGCTGCTCACCTGCAAAGGACGGGATAAGATCTGCCAGCGTCCACAGCAAGGATAAACAAAATACCAGAGAAGTGAAGGGCGAGGCAGCGTTTTGTCGTTCTTGGAGGACAGGGTTCTGACACGGGGCGACCCGTGCTGTCCTGCGGTCTCTGGAGCCACCCCGTCACCTGTGAGGAGCAGGTCGAAATCTAGTAGCAATCTAATAACCTTTGGAGTTTGACTCCAAAATATGTGAAATAAATAAACAGTTATTTATAATTTATGATATAAATAAACTTATTGATAATGTATAATGAAAGGAATAAAAATAAGAAAAGAAAGCCTTACAATGAAGCCTGGCATTCCATTTTTGGTATCTTAATTTTTTTTCCTTTATCTTTATTTATTTATTTATTAATTTATTTATTTTATTTTATTTGAAAACTCTCAGCCTGACAGCAAACTGAGCCTCCCCAGCTCACGTGGCAGCACGGCCTCACCGCGCCGGTAAGCGCTGCGTAGACGCCTGGCATCCAGCGCGGCCCTAAATTGCAGCACTAGCATGTGGTTGCCGTCAGCCACCACATCCAGGAGGAAATGGCACCTTGTTACCTCCCAGATGATCAGCTCCCTGTGGGGTAAATATCCTCGGCGTGGCATTGGGGTTTAGCAGCAAGGTTCCTTGTAAAGGAGCTGGGATTGGAGGGAGGGTAGATGTGAGCGCGCGGCGCTGGGATGTTGCACCTATAAATCTTCTGTGTCTCCTGCTAGCTGCTTTCCTCGCTGACAAAGGACAAGTGTTTGCTGCCAGTGCAGGGTTCATAAAGCACAAAAGGAGGGTGTGTGTTCTGCATTGCTTCCTGTAACGCCGGCTGCAGCTACGGCGAGGAAGCACGGAGCAGGAAGAAGCCAGGGGATTCCTCAGCTCCTCGGCGGCTGCAGCCTGGCCAGAGGAAGGAATTCAGCTTTCAGTGGCAAAGTTTGCATTTCCCTTCGGTTACACGGCGATAAAGTGACTTCTACAACAGCAGCCACCGTAGCCAGAAAGCACCGTAGGCAGGAGCTACCTTATGGGCCCCGTCCAGGTTACTGCTCTTGTGCTAAGTGATTTTTTTTCTGAAAATCTGGTTTCTTTTCCACGTGTCTATCCCATTGTGGTGGTGGTCAGCACGTGCCTCAGTTTACTGAGCAGCAATGGCTTGGACAGGCCCTGTCCTTCGGAGAGCTGCCTTAAAACAAATAACTTGTTTGACTTTGGAAATAACTTGCCTGCTTCTCCAGGAGGTGTCCTTGCAGGGCTTGTAGGATAAATGCAAGCTCCATGTGCAGGATACGTAACCCAGCGCTCTGTGTCACCTCACTAGGTGGTGTGTGGCCATGCCTGGCATGGGGGGAGATGAGAAAAGACTTAATTCATTGCATATCTGGCTTCAGCATGTCCTGCCTCTGCTGTGTATTTACAAACGTGGACCTACAAGTTAATGGTTCAGGGGTGAGAACTCAATTTCCAGGATCAGGGACACCCGCTTCAATGAGCTTGTATTCAGCTTTGGCCTGAAGAGCCCACTTGAACCAGGAGTGGAGCGAGGCTGGTAGAAAAGGGGTTTATTAAACCAGCCCGTCTCAAAGGGAAAGCATGCTTCCCCAGACACACACGAGCTCTACCCATCTGAAACAGGCTCCTGAAGGAGGGCTGGTGTGTCTGCTTGCTGCAGCTCGGCCAGCTGCTCTATTAAAAGGCCTTATCTCTTCCTATAAATTCTGCCTTGCTTATAGCCTGACATCATTACTGCTGCAGCACTACCGAAACGCTATCCAAACCCTCGTGCCATTATTTTAAAGGCAAGCCATAAAGGTTAATTTGCGTCCTCCCTGGCTCGAAATGGTGCAAGGCCCGGTGTGGCTGCCCTCTTTCGTTCTAGGAGCGAAGATGCTGCTGGTTACTGCACCCACACCGGGCCACGGGCCCCTGGGAAGCTCTCGGGCTGCTTCCTGAGAGCGAAGCTGGGTGAATCTGCAGTTTCCCAACTGGCCTAAGCTGACCTACCCTGGGCTCCTGCCAGGAGGCAGCTCCCCCAGCCGGCTGCAATCCTCCCTCCTCATTCTCAATTCTGTAGGGTGAATCTGCAGGACCTTCAGCTTGCTGGTGTGGCTGTCTGAGTGGCCACATCAATGCCAGGAGAGATGCCAGGCCCAAGGAGACGTGGTGGGTGCGAGACTGGTCCTTCTGGCAGCAGCATCGACTTCAACTGCCCAACACAGGCTGTGAACCCAAAATGAGCTCCTGAGGCACCTCGCAAACCCCAAAAGCCATGGGGGGTTTGCCGGCAGCTGCCTTGGGATGGGATGCAAACATTCCTCCGTGCCTTTGAACATAGAGAGAAGGGGGTTAACAGTTAAAGAACGGTGCCATGCATCTGCTACACACGTAAGCGAGGGGTTTTCCTGTGGTATTTGGGCTGAAGGTGCCTGCTATTTTATTATCCAGCCAGGCACCAACCTTCCTCTCCAGCTCCAGCACGGCGAGCGCTGGATTTAACACCTGACACACCGGGCTCGTAGCTACAACAGCACTTGCTGAGTTTCTGAAACAAGCCAAAATCGAGTGGTTTCCCATGCTGTTTAAGGTTTAGGATGGGAGATGTGTTGTGAGGGGTGCCTGGTGACGTGCCCGTGATGCAGCTGCACGGGGAGCCACGCAGTGCTCGCTTTCCCTTATCACAGTGCTCCCGCCGTGATAAGGGAAAACTGGGGCAAAGGCTGGCACCTGGCTGCACAAGACCCCCCCAGGCGTTCCCTGAAGCAGGAGCTCGTTCCTGCCTTGCTGTGTCAGGTTTGTGGAGGCGCTGTGAGATGAAGCTGCACGGCAGGACGAGTTCTACCAGGGCTTACCCACAGCAGCCTCCCCAGTAACCTTCCCCCGAAGCCAAGGCGGATTAGAGACAAGACGATAATGGGAGAGAAAATCGGGGTCACAGGCTGGTTTATAATCAGTTCTGCAGGAGAGGCAGGTCACCACCTACCTTTCTTACTGCTCCCTATGATTATTCCGTGAAATTCACCTTGGTGTCTTTGATCAGCTCGCTCAGCAAAGCCGGCCTCCGAAGGCGGCTGTCTCGGCTAGCCCATTTGGTTCCCATTTCCCCGTGCCATCGCTCACATGGAGTAAGCTGAAACATCTGGAGGGACCCAGAGGAGCGACGTCCTTACCGCCTGTATCAGTCACTGCCCTCAGCCACCAGTGCCTCCCAGCTGAGGCTGCTGGTTCTGGCTCCTATTTGGCCGTTCCTTCATCCGTCGCTATTGGGCTCGCAGGGTTTAAGGCTCCCTTACTTCCATGATGTTTTGGTTGAATTCCAAAACTGTTCGTATGCTTCTCTCCCTCTAGTAAACTTACGGCAACGAGTAGAGAGCCCATTAAGGAAGATAGGTTTGGGCTATAGAGAAATGCTGCCAACTACTGTAACAGGAAAACATTACAGCTCCCTTTTGCCCAAAAATAACATTTTCTTGCCATGGGTAAATAGCTATTACGGTTCTTCTGGGAGCAATAAGCACAGGCCTCTTCTTCTCCAAAAGGAGCATGCAGTCCTGGAGAGGAGCTGATTTCTCCGAGGCATGGCCAGGCTGCGTCTGCCACCAGACAGGGGTGCGGGGAGCAGAGGGCAAGGAGCATGGCAGAGCAGGGAGCCAAGAAGGATGCTCGGGGGAAGTCACTCCTGCAAGAGGACCACATGACAGAGACTAAAAAAAGCTGTTCCCCCTCTGCATGGCACGCACAGCACTTTGTCTGGGCTCCTCTCTGCCATGGGAAAGGATCTTAGCTTGGTTTCGTCTCCCTCTGCCCCATGCCCTGGGAGCTGTAATTCGAAAAGCTGGGTCTGTTCATCTGGGTGCCTGCAGAGAGGCAGGCGGCGTCCCGGCATTCAGGAGATCAGGGAGCCAGCTCGTTTCGGTGTCCTGACGCACGCTGCCTTGCCTCTTGCCATCTCCCTGGCCAGGTTTATTGCACATCCTGCTCGGGAACAGCACGGGGTGATGGTGTCCTGGTGCTTTCAGAGCACCCGGTGAACGATTCCTTCGAGCTTGAGTTTCCAGGTACCAAATGACAGTAAAACAAGGAGAGTAAAGCCATTCATCAAACTCAGTTAGGCCGTGAACAGGAGAGAAATTGATACCGTAATCAGAAGCCAGCCCTCCAGCTACTTTCAGTCTTGTGCGAGCTCTGCCCATAGGACTTCTTTCCTCCCCAAAATGCGCCGTTCTTCATCTTCCTGACTCTAACGAGGTGTCAGCCTGTAGTAATTTCAAGGCAGCTTCTCCAGCTCCATTAGTATCACTCTGCCTTGGGAAGAACATCGGCCTCATTAGGCTTTAGCTTGCTTCCTGCCCCACCGTTCGTCCGCTAAGGGCTGGCTGCGATAACACCTTCAAAACAACGCATCTGGTGCTTAGAGCCAAAAATCAGGACGAGAGAATCCAGTCCTAGCCACTGACAAGTACAAATCCCTGCCCTTTTTTTTTTTTTAATTTATTTGTTATTATTATTTTTTATTTTTCTGTCTGTAATAGGAGCGATGCTGAGATCTCTCGCAGCAGAGTCAGGTTTAACACTTCGGTTTGTAGGATGGTTTGAAATGGTCAAAGCACATCTCAACAGGAGTACAAAGTGCTACAAAAGGGCCCTAAACAAACCCTTGCTGACCTGACACTGTCACAGCTGGTCCCCAGTCAGGTCACCTGAAAATTAAACCCTGATTTGGCTGAACTATTTATTTCATAAGCATAGAATAAAGGAAAATAATTTATATAAATTAATAAACAAATAAACAACAAAACCACGTACACTTTCCAAAGAGCCTGCTTGTTTCTAAATCTTAAATTTGGGTTAATCTGAGAGCACCAAATGTATGGCCGCAAGCAGAGCTCACAGAAGACCCTGGGACCTTTCTGCATCAACACATAAAGCTTAGTGCAATATGGCCCGGATCTGTAAGGCCAAGAAGCTGTCCTGAGGTCTGTTGCCATAAGAAATGGGGTGCTGTAGGGCAGGTGGCTCTTCCTGGTGTGAGGCCCTGGCTCTGGGGCTGCAGGTTGCTGCTGTCAGCGAGGAAACACGTTTAAGGTATTCCCATCTCCCTTCACAGCCCGTGCTGAGCGTTTCCACGTCCCACCGAACCCGAACACTGCCTCTCCTCCAGGTGACTTTGGCAAGGAGCAGGATCTGGAGGGCGAAGCGGGTTACCTGGAGAAGTCAGCAATGGGTGCACTGGAGCAGCTCCTCGGCCCCGTCCCCTCTTCAGCACCACGGGGAGCCGTGCGGTGTGCGTGGCTCCTCAGCACCGACAGGGCAGGAAACCCAACCTAGGAAGCGTGGCTCACACTGCGAGCAGACGATGCTGAAGCAGGAAATGCCTTAAATACGAATCTGGCCTCGCAGCAGGGAATAGCAGAAGCCCAGCCTCACGCAGGCGCTGCGATACGCATGTCCTCTGCTCCTCCAGAGCTGCTCCCACGGTGTCTGCGTCCCTGGGGAGCGCCGTGTTTGCTGCTCCATTTGCACACCAGCCAGCAGCCTGCTTTCTGCTCTCTGAGTGCAGCTGGCATGCTCTGCTGGCAGGCTTCGGAGGGGATAACGCCGTCCTTTTCCCTGCTGGTGATGGTTTACCGGAGGTGCCTCCTTTCTGGCAAACAAAAAGGGATGGATTCTGGGCAGTTTCGCAATAAGCAGGAGCAGGATGGCTTTACCAGGCACACTTCACAAGGTACTCCGTATGGGACTAGTGAAGAAACGTGGACTGCTTTTGCCTACCAGCGGAGCTCTGTCAAAGTCAACGCAATGCAAAGGGGTAGCCCAAAGCCAGCAGAGAAATCTCCTGCACCAAAGGAACGGGAGCTGTGCGGGCAGAGCTCGGGGATCAAACGGAGATGTTTAACTTGGGGGTGTCCGCTTGCGAGTCGACCCCGTTTTAAGTCGCAAAGAAATTGGCATTTTTAGCAGGCATTAGGAATTCACCCTCAGTTGGGCTAAACCAGCCCACAGGTAAAGGTCTGCTGGGAGAGATAAATCCCCTTTCACACCTCTGTGCTTTGACACGGGGATGCTGCACGCTGTGGGGCTGCTGCCAGGAGCAGGGTGCCTGGCGTGGAGGCACGGAGCGGTGCCAGACACAGCCAAACCCTTGGGGAGCGCGGCCACTGAAGCAACCGTGACTTCATTAGGCTTGCTCAAGATGCCCTCTAGCCCAGACCTTTCACCTCATTTAATGTTTCCTTGGCCTCGATCACTCGTAATTCTGAACTGAAAAGAGAAAAAAAAAATAAAAAAGGAAAAAAAAAAATCCCGCTTCGACTCCGGTTTTCAAACCAAGGCCGTTTGATTTGGAAGGCTGCATTGAAGTCTGTGCTACTGATTGATTTCAGGTTTATTATATTTTCCCCTTTGAAACATGCTACAGTAAAAAAAAAAAATCTGTACACTTTGTCGTTTTTCATGTAGCCCCTTCTTTCCCCCCCCCCCCTCTTTTTTTTTTTTTTCCAATCTTAGCAAATGCTCAGTCTTTTCCACTTCAATAGCTTGAAATTCTCCCCTGGGAACCCTAAGCTCTTTAAATATTTTTAGGTTGCCAGATTTCTTATGTTCTCTCTCCAGGAAGCCAATTTTGTTTCTAAGCTCTTGAGAGTAGTCCAGCTTCATCTTCTGCGCACTCACTGCATCACAATAAAATGCTGCCTAATTGCTGCCTCAGCCGAGTCCCAAAGGTGCTGGGGTTTGTCTCTAGGCTACAGTTGTGGACAATAAACTCTGCTCAGACTGGAGTTAAGCCTTTTTATTATTTAAATCTGAGTCATGTAAAATTAGTTTACTAGCAAGTAACCCGCAAAGATCTGGTATGGAAAGAAACTCCCACGTATTGTTTTCCAGCAGGACGAGGGAACGAGCAGATAGAAAGATCTGCAAGCAGCTCGTAACACCAGATGTAATAGGGAGACCGACGTTTAATTCAGCCCAAAAGACAGGAGAGTGTTTCCGTGAGACCAGCAGTCACCCTCAGACCTCAGCTGTTTGGTGCTCTCCGAGCTCCAAATTGAAACGGGTGCCATGAAAAAAACTCCCTTTGCTTTTCCTCTAGCTTATCCATAACCTGAAATGCTGTGAAAGAGGGAAAGACAGCTGCGGCTAACAAATGCCAGATGAGCAAGAGCTTTCTTTTCTCAGGCTAGCACAACAGCCGGAGCATTCCCTGAACATCCAGCAAGAAAATCATCAAGAACATACTAAGACTGGGTGGCCACAGCTCCATCAGGCTTGAGGAGACTCCTGCAGCAAGGGGCAAGTGGACAATATGGGGAGAGAGAATGAACAAATCCCCTTTTCCTCACCAGCACCATATCCAGCCATCCTTGATAGCAAGAGATGACAGCTGTACACTGCACACAGAGGCATTTTCTCCCTTTGTGTCCTTTTTTAAATCTGTATTTTAAAGTGTTTCTGTTGTAGGATGTAGCTTCTAACGATAGCGCATACTCCAAGGACATTTCAGCAGAAAGATGATTCTCTCAGACTGCAATTTCCCAAGACAACACTCGGCTTTTAGGTGCACTGGGTGCTGCAGACCCAAACCCACAGCCTTAACTAGGCAAAAAATGACACTGAAAGAGATCTCTCCGTGTGCTCCACAAGGTTAGGCTGGCCTTCAGTCAGAAAAGGACAAAGACAGAGGGGATGTGACAAGTCTTTGCAGCAGTCTGGGCAGCACAGCTGGAACCCAGGTTGCTCACCAGCGAGGAGAGCACGCATCCAGGTCAGGACGAGCTGATTCAAGGGCTCTCACGTAGCTCGTTTTGTCAGCACCAAGTACATGTACATGCGTAACAGGGAGCCGGATCCCTCCACGGTGATTTCAACCTAATTCAGATCCAGGAGAAGCTTGCCACCAGTATCAGGGGGACGAAGGCTTCACTCCCTGCCATGGGAGAAGGCGTATTCTGCAGGTCCTGGAGCCTCGCAACAAATGAGACCCCCCAGAGCTCGTCTCAGCTTCATTGCCTGAAATCAAACGACATGGATTTGGGGTCTCTTTTTAGTTATCTGTAAAACAAGCACGATAATACTTTGAGTGCTAAACAATACAAGGTGTGTAGGAAGAGAAAATACCTTTTATTAGGCCAACTGATATAGCTGGGGAAAAGGAGACAAGCTTTCAGGCTTGCCTGAAGTGCTTTGAGATGCTCTGCTGAAAGGTGTTAGAGCTGTGCAAGGGATCATTAAATTACATTCTTCCTCTCTCTGGAAATCATTTAGTGATATTTCAAAGGAAAGATGCTGTACAGAAATAACCAATTTCTATTGCAAATTCTGTCTGGAGCTAAACATCTTCCTTCCTCCCTCTTTATGAACTAATCTAAAGAAAAATATGTTTCAAATTAACGTGTTGAGGATATTTCTGTGGTGTACCGTATAGTCCTGAGATTGGTGCTGTATTAGAGGTAACTTGCAACATCCTTATGCTCAGTACACACAAATAAAGTGGCTGGATTTCTGTTTAAAATTAGAAAGCATAGAAACTCAGTGAAAACAACAAGGGGGGAAAAAAGGAAGAAAAGATACAGAAATTACATTATGCTTGTACAAACTGCCTAACAAGCACCAACATTTTCACTGTCTAGTGTAGCCGTCGTGCCTTCGGAAGTGGTGAACCAGTCAGAGGCCAGAAAAGAGGGACAGAAACGACCAAATTCTTAATCCTCTCCTCCCCCTGATGTATCAAGAAGGACAGAGTGACCTGGGATTGCTCAGTCTTCGTGCTGAGTGACAGACTAACAGCACAATGGTATTGCAATCGTGAGCGTACCAGGAAATATCAGCGCTCCCGTGGAGTTACTGCATCACGGAGATTGCTGGGGGCCGGGAAGGGCAGGTGAGAGGAGGTGTTGGTTTGGTTTACTTCCTAAATTCAAGTAATGCGGAACGAGGAGGAGGCTCCAGGGCCCCAGCGTCACCTTGTCTCACTACATCCATTACAGGGGGGTGGACAGGAACGGGAACAGCCAAGGATCAGCTCAAATCGGCCACAAGACAGGAGGCTGGGATGGAAAAAGACCTTCCTCCTCTTCCTCCTCCCCCAGCCCCATCTCCAGACCTTAACTCCACTTACGCTTTATCTGAGAGGCTTAACTGTGCATAAATCCTGCTCATATCACAAGAGCGCTTCATTTCGGTGTCACGATACAAATGGTGCCAAGAGTAGAGGAAACTGGAGGGAAGTGGGAATAGTAATCTCCAAATTTGCAGAAAGCAGTCACGAAGAAGAACGAAGGAGACTGCTGCCTGTGTCCACAAGCAATGAAGTTAAGCTGCAGTTAAAGACATTTACATTAAATATTAGAGAATTGTCCAGGATTAAGGAAGATAAAGCATTACTAGAGACTGCCCAGAGAAATGGTGAAATTTTCATTGCTGGGATGTGTAAAAAAATGTAAATAAACATTACCCAAAGTTTTGCTGTTGATGACTGTCCACTGGAGCGGAGAATAGGCTCGGTGATTTGTTTGAGAAAGGTTACCGTGTGTGACCAGGCTTTCCCGGACGTATTCTCTGTTTCACTCGGGAAGATACTGCTGAAGCTTCTCCGTTTGTGCGAGGTTTTGAGATTCATTCCTCTGAAAATATTTGTCTAAGACCGGAGGGGCCGTTTATCTTCCCAAGTGCCTGTTCCTCTCCGCTGATCACAGACGCAGTTGCAGATGACTGGCTTCGCGTGGACACCTACTTCTTGAATCCATGGAGTCAGATGAGACAAACTCCCACCCTTAATAGCAAACTCTGTCACTTCTAATGTATTCCTAGATACAACACTCACACCTCCATTTTTCACTCCAGCTATAATTACTTGTTTTGCATGGATGGGGTGGCACCCAGCACACATAACCACGTCGTTATTTATTGTCCTGTATTAGTAATTTTATCACATTACACTTGGATGCCATATGGTGCAATCAAGAATACAATAAAAGTTTCCTACGCAATGTATGAGAGGCTTCCACACGGCAATTAAATATAACCTACTCCACTTCTACACTCCCTTCCTACGGCGAATATCACTCAATTACACGGTATCTCAGTAAGGAGAACTTTATTTTTAGATCCAAAAGCCAGCCAAAGCTCTGTTGAGTTGCAGGTAGAGCTATTAACCGGGGATGCAAGCAGCTTTAATTCAGCAGCATGTATGAAACGTTCAGGTGCTTGTGATATATGGCATTAACCACTTCTGTTCCCAAAATTTGTTTACACTTACCACATGCACTCAGTTACTCTGTCTGAACCTGTGTAGTTGTATTGTACCCATTCCTTCAGGAGACTAAATTGGGCACTTAGACATTTACACTGTGTCTACAGTGCAGTTAGAGGGAATGAGTTTGAGCTTCCTACTTAACTGTTAGCGTTCTCCTTGGGAATCCATCGAGGTACATCTCGTGTCTTCAGGATAAGGCATGGATCTCAGGGTAGTTTGCTCTTGGGATTACTCCCAAGCACAAATAAGGCCACAAACTTTTTATTTGGCTCCCTGAGATCCACGGTGTTGTCCAACACCATTCTGGCAGGCTCAGCAAACCCTCTACCCAGACACTTACTTGTATCCCAGTGCACATAATACATACGTTTCATTTCAAGCTATAACAACATCACTCTGAGAGGTTGTTGCACAGCCCTGACATATCACAATGTAAGCTGAAAAACACATTAAAACAATAATTCTGCTCCAGGGCTAGGAGGATGCCACAAGCTCCAGGGTAGAGGGCTATGTGTCGTGGAAAGGGCACTGCAGTAGTGCTAAGCAGCTGGGCACGAGCCAGTGATTCTTGAGGAATGTCTTCAGTCTCACGTGGAGAAGGACCAGAAAGAGGTGAGGCTTCAGCTAGAAGAAGCAATTAGCCAGGTCACGTCGTAGGTAAATGTATGTGGAATGTGATAGATAAATATGTAACTAAACAATCTCTTCACAGGTTATTAAGAAGCCTGTCCTGATGGCTACACAACTTTTAAAAAGCGGCGCCCCAGATACCATGTAAAATTATTAACCATTACAAGCCATTAACCATTCTCTCAGCTCATTGGGTTTGTGGCCAGCATTCCTAATTGCTTTAAAAGCACACTGCTTTCAAACACGACAGTTAATTCTCTAACAACGCTAAATATCTTAACCGCTGGGACTGCAAAAGCGTCCCAGTGGTGGTCATCACTGGCAGTAAATCCCTCTGAACTGGAAGGGATTTAATAATCAGAAAATGAAGTTTTAGTTCAGCAGACCTTTTCATGGTACATTTGTAAACCCTGTAAGCTATTTTGTTTGTAAACGATGGCCATTTTTACAAGAACAACAGAGACATAAGGTCAGATTCTCTCCTTCTTACAGCGATGCAATCTACAACAAACCTCCAGGATATTTGTGAAACACTAAGGGCATAAAAATCACATACACAAACACGCATGCTTTGATAAAGGATTTAGTCTCCTTTACTAAAATCCTGAAGTTGCATAGATCTTTTTCTTGGTAGGACACTTGGCAAACAAATCCAAGAGTTCGATAAATTCCTGCCTCTTGCTAAAGCTCCTCGCTGCCTCGGATGTGTAGGTTTAGCTGTTCACAGGATCATACAACGCACCAGGTCAGAGCTGTGGTCTGGGTGAAAAGCAGCGACTTCTAGAGGTCTCTTCCAACCTAGAAATTCTGTGATTCTTTCTCAGGGTGCCTTTCAATCCAGCTGATTTCACCCGCCCATCCGGCAGTGCCACCACACAAACAGCTGTAGCAGCACGGGCAGCAGAGTGATAAGCAAAAGCAAGAACAAGTGTTGAGGGGTGGAGATCAGCTAACTCGGTTTTGTTGCCAAGGCAAAGATGCAAAGAATAGCACAGAACAGCATTCAGAGTTGAAGAGGCTCCTCCAGATGATAATTCAGAGCAGAAGCCTCGCTAACATAGTCTGAATTGCTCCCCGGAGGAGCCTCTCTCACTCCTTCAGCTATGCAAGGCATCTAGGGAGACAAGCCTCCTAATTTAGGCATGTAAGTTAGATGTTTAAACGTATGCAGTGAATATTTCCCCCGAGAATGTGAATGGGATGCTATAATAATTTGAAATATGTTTAACCAAAGCTCTGATAACCACGTCTGTTCTGTTACACGACGCTGTCAGTGTGCCACTGACCCTCCACTGACACTGTAACGTTTCTCATTTGTTAGATAAACGAACAAAGTTAAGAAACGCACATCTTCCACATGCAGTCCAAATTTTGAAGTTAAAAAAAGATTCCCAGTTTTACTCTCAAAATACAAACCAGATTAAGTCGTTCACATGGAAACCACGGCATGTTCCCTACAGTAATCATATCAGCGGACCAGAAAGGGACAAAATGATTATTGAAGTGATCACCAGCACATCTTATTCATGTTTTTGTTCTCCTTAAGCAATTTTTAAAAGTTTTCATGAAGGATTTTGGCTAATTACATTTTGGTAATTACATTTTGCCATTCAGGACATTGCTCCTATCTGCTCAGAACTTTTTACACGTTACTTGATGGAAGGAAGTAGTCACGGATAAATGACAAAAGTTGGTTTTGATGCACGGGCACTGCTTGCTTACCTCCTGCACTCCTGACTTGCACATTCTTGATTCTTAGGCACACAGCAGAACACAAATTTTTCAGTGTGTTTTTCTCTGTACATAACCACCTTCACTGCCATTGCTGGACAAGGCATTAATGCGTGTTAGACCGTGCTGTGTTTATTCTACTGGTTTGCACATCTAAGTAGTGTGTGAAAAAAGCTGCCCAACTGCTCCCTTATTTGAAACTTCCACTTTTAAGTCAGAGACGTATTTAGAAGGGAAGGAGAACAATACATACCAGTATGACTTAAATTTATGCCTGTGTCTGAGGTAACAGCCTCGACTGCGATAACTGCTCGGTTCAAACTCCTGAAGGTCAGCATCCTACGGTTCTGTGATGGTTTCCCCTCAGCCCTCACACCTCAGTAAAACAGCTGCCTGCGGGTCATGCGTAACACCACGACCGTGCAAGCAGCAGTCAGCACGGAGCGGTCAGTCCCCTTATGCACGCTGACTGGGCAGCTTGTTGCCAGATGAAATATTTAACAGCTAAGCTCTGCCTACCTTGTGCTCAGCAGAGGCACCAGCTGAGCCCCTGCTTTCTACCAGGCCACTTACTGAAAACTGAAAGGAACTCAGTTATCATTAAGGCTTCCACACTGTTCTTAAATGTGGTAGAAATTGGCCAACGAGGGTCAAAATCACTGCAGTGGGACAGTGTGCAACTCCAGAGTGTCATATCTTTAGCAAACCAGTCTAAAATCCACACCCTACCACAGAAGAATTGTATTGCCAGACATTTTTTTGCTTAATTGAGCATCACAGGTTTCTTCTTAGCTGTCAGCCCTCGCACACGGATGAAACTGACACAACCCTGCCACCTTACACTGGTGATCTGCCACAGGGCTGGGGTGATGTGACTGCATTTTTCATTTCCTGCCCTCGGTTTTCAGGTACCAATTGCTGACATGCAGCTTCGTGGGCCTGGCTCCACTTTCTCTGAGGTTTCTGTCCAAGCCTTACTCTCTCTTTGACCTCTGTAAACTGCTTTCTTAATCCTTCTCCAAAGAGTAATACTGTAGCAGATGCAAAATGCTTCTGCATATTAAGTATACACAGAAAAGAAACACAGTACCTCATTTCTGATAATTCTTTCAATTTCTGTCCAAAGACTCCAAGCAGAATTACTTTTTTTTTTTTTTTTCCAACCTGCTGGGAGCTTATTTCAACCAATCTCAAAGATATACTTTTTTTTCTTTTTCTTTCTCCTACCCGTATTTCCCATTAATTTGTCACTGGCTCGTTCTTCATCATTTTAATCAACCTAGTCATAACTCTCATGACATATTTCTCTCTCTCTGGCTCTAACGATGCAATGAACACATTAGGTAGCACTCCTCTCAGCTAACTTTATGCATCTACAGTTGCAAACACCCACATTTATGGTGATAGGCTAAGCACTTTAATAAGCAGTGGAAAAAATATTAAACAGAGTCAGGAGAGTTTGCCTTAGTCAAAGAGGGAAGCACCTCTCTCCATCATGAAGAAAACCAAGAGGAAGGCTAATTCAGATGCACAAGTCTACAAGGCAGGTGTCTACACTTGATCTGTTAAATACAATAAACTATATCCATGCCTACTCTCGTTTTCTGGCTAAGTTGAAGTCTCATTTGAGCATCAACTGCTTTTCCATGAACAATCCATAGCATTTGAGACGTACGTGGTGTGAAAGATGTTGGCTGGATCCTTCTGTGTTGCCACTCCATCACAGATTCTGGAGGCTCAGGCTCTGACATTCCTTCCTAGAAGGGAAATTGGTGGATGCATCTTTCTGATAAATACCATACAATAAAAACACATAGGCAGAAGAATCACTACATGCATACATTGAAATTAACAGTGTCTACTGATGCCTTTACTGAGCCGTACACAACTTCCCTTAGGTTCCCCAAGGTTAACGTCCATGAATATATTACATGCTCCCTCTTTTCCTTATTGCTTCCCTACTTTTTTTTTTTACCCCCCCTTATTACAGCATTTCTCAATGCAACCTGTAAGACCTTTGGTAAAGGGTTATGTTTGCACGTGAGCATTAAACAATATTACGAAGGCGTAATAATGCTGGCACTCTAGTTAAAAATAATTGCAAGGGGAAGGGAAGACAACAGCAAAGGGCAGCTGATAATTCATGGATACCTCCTGGGCTCTCAACCTCCTCCTGCAGGACTTTGTGCGTGGGAGAAGGTTACAGATGAAGATCCCTGCAACTTTGTCCTAAATGCCTGTACCAGCCATCTGAGCGAGACACAGAATTTATGTAACAATAACCAAATCAATTTGGAAACCAGCTTTGCTAATCTGACACAGACCCTAAGCGTGGATAGCTCTAAACTTATCTGGCAGAGCCTGCAATTACTCTCGCTTAAGAGACACTTTTGAACCAAATCAAACGTTCACAGCAAAAGAGCTACGTTAATTTATATCAGCTTCTGATTGAACTGCCTAGCATAAATCAGAGCGAGAGGGCATGCAATCAGCTCAGCTGGCAGATTTGCAGATCGCTGAAAGGGGCACGCAAAGTCCCTGGGGTCCGGCTGTGAGTAATGCCCTTCTCCACCAGCACAGCTGGAGCCCATCTAGCCACAGCTGCTGACACCCACCACCAGCACGCCTTACCCAGAACTGCCAGGTAGACAGCCTCTGTCGAAAAATAAAAGGACGCAAGCCCTGAAAACACACTCAGAGGAGAAGAAGTTGCAGTGGTTTGGAGTGTCGCCCCCGCACAGACATTTTGTACCTTCCCTCTGCCTGACAGCAGAGCTGCTGAAATGAAATACGTGCACGAGTCCCAGCTGTTTCGATACAAGGTCCAGCAAATTAGCTTAAACTGCTGATAAAGATGAGTGTAATGCCATATTTCGTATTAAAATGGATTAGAAACATGAGTGGTTTCCATTCCAGGGACCGTTGTGGGGGCAGGAACCTTCAGTAAGGAGGCAGAACAGGGGGTCAGGGGAGCAATATTTCTTGGGTCTCTCCAGCCAAACCTGCTGGAGTTTGTCTGATCGTGGCAGTAGGAAAAGCTATGAAATATCACCCTCGTGGTTACCATTCTTTCACTTTATTAACAAATTTATGAATTCCCGATGGCCTGTTAGTCCTTCCCCCTCCTTTTGTCACTTCTTGTACCAAAGACCAGGCAGCAGGATAGCTACAAGCGCGATCACGAGGAGGAGCAGGAGGCTGGAGCAGCCGACCTCCCGAGGGCCCTTCCAGCTTCAGCTATCCTATGAGCCTGGAGAACAGCTCATGTGCAGGGGGGGGAGCTTGGAGATGTGGTTCCCTCCCTTCTGTCCCAACCACTTAGCAGATCTTGGCTAAATGTGCAAACAAAATGTGCCTCCCAAAACAAACTTTCCCTCTGAGGGGTCCAAAAAGAGTGTCTGAGTGACTCAGGTACCGCTCCGGTGCTCAGCAACTTTTCAGAGGGAGGTCAGGGGGGAGCAAGGGTACCACGAGGAAGCAGCCCATCTCGACTGAAGTATTACACAAAAAGTTGAAGGGAAAAAAAATAAACGAAGCAAGAGAGAGGTTATGACTAACCACCCAACCTTCTCCCGGTCACAGTTTACCAGCTGAGGGATACGATCCCCAGACGAAGCAGTTTATGTGTCTAATGGGATCAGAGGGATGCAGCCTTGTGGGAATGGGTATTATGGTGGTACAGGGGGCAGGCTGCGTATGATCTACTCCCCCTTCAGAAACATTGAGCTCTGTAAGGTCTGCACAGCATCTACGCTTTTGGGTATGTTAAAAAAAAAAACAAACAGCAGGAATCGGAGTCATGGGCAGGCAAGTTTGAAGAAATCTGGAAAAAAGGGGAAGCCAGAGTTGCAGCTGTTACGAATTCATCACGATTTTGGCTCCAGTTCTAAAATGCTCCACAAAGGCATAAGAATCTCCACATGATTTTGAGGGAAGCGAGAGATGTACGTGCACAAGTGACACATCCACACATGCTGTATTGTTTAAGAGGCGTCCCGAGCATGGGCTTTCAGCCCCGGCTCTTTTCGCTCGCGTCAGCTCCCATTTCCGAGGCTCTTGCTGCGAGACGCAGCCTCGCGCTGCTACCTTAAGATAACAATTTGCGTTTTTTCCAGAGAAATCACGTGTGGCCGGTGGGAGCTATGGGCAGATCATGGTTTGTGGAATGCTCCTGGAGCTGTGGCAGCGAGCAGCTGCACGCTTTCTGGTGGCCATGCGGGCAGGGAGAGGTTTGTACGGGCACCAGAGCTCAGAAACGTGAGGTTATGTTCACCCTCAGACGCCATCAGACTGGGTCAAGCCCTCACCGGGTGCCGCTGTGGTGCCAGAACTGCCAAACCCCATGTTTTATTCCTCCATCACCACATAAAAACGGCGCTCGAGGTGTGTATGTGTGGTGGGGATGGATGTCCACAACACCCCCAACCACCCTCCAACAAGCGGGAGGACTCCTAATCTGCTTCCAGCTGGCCCCAAAGCCCCCCAAAAAGGGGTTTATAGGGGATAAAGGGCACATTTCCCCTCAGCCCTCCCCCGCCCCAGGGGCCGCCAGCGGCCGCCCCCTCCCTCCCCGAGCCCGCCCGCCGCCCGCCCTGAGGCGAGGTCCACGCCCCCCGCGAGAAGCCCCGCCCCCTCCCCCGCCGCCATGGCAACCGATTGTCGCCCATCCTCCCCCCCCCCCCCCCCCTCCCCTCCCCTCCCGTTTCCCCCCGGTGTGGCCGCGTCCGAAGGGGCCGCGCCCCCCTCCCCGCTCCGCCGGCGCCCGGCCACGCACCCCGCTGCTCCCGAGGTAACGGCGGGGCCCCGGCGGTCCCTCAGGGCGCCGCCCGAGGCGGTTCGGCCCCGCGGCGGAGCCGAGGAGAAAAAGCTGGGGGGGGTTGTATAGGGAGGTGGGGGGCAGCTTCCCGCGGAGCCTGCTGGGAAATGTAGTCCCGAGGCCGCCGCCGCGCGCTGGGCGCTGAGGGGGAGGGAGGCGGGAGGGGACTACAAGTCCCAGCGGGCATGCGCGGGGATGGGCGCTGCGGGTTTGCCCCCGCTGAGAGGGCTCTGAGGGGATTGGGGGGGGAGAGCCCCCTGTGAGGGGATGGGGGGGGCAGGAGGCTTGGGGAGGGGATTTTGGGGTTAGAAGAGGGGGTTTTGGGGTTAGAATTGGGGAATTTGGGGCTGGAGGGCTCCGTGAGGGGGTGTTAACGCCCTCAGGTGCTTAAAACTGCGGGTTTTGGTCGTGCCCACCGGTTTTTTTTTGGTGTTTTTGCTGCCCCCCCCACCCCCACCCCACCCCGTTACCCCTGGCGATGGGTTTGGCGTTATCCCGCTCAACAGGCAGGAGGGAGGGGCAGGGCAATAAAACCAATAAAACCGCAGCTCCCGATCGAGGGGGTGTTTAAAATGTACGTGTTTGTTGCAGGCGTGCTGTGTGGAGGGGTGTTCTGTTGTGTTTTGTTTTTTAAGTGTTCCTGGAGAGCTGTGTCATGCAAGCATCGCTGCAGTGGTGCCCCATTGGGTGTCAATATTGAGCGTCTACCCCAGTTCTGTGCAGCTGCACACGTATATACAGCATTAATCCCCTCAGAGGGGGGGGTCTGGCCAGTGGGTGCTTGGTTTTATTGCAGCTGAAGGTGTTCTCCTCCTCCTCCTCCTAAGGAGCAGACCCTGCCCTGAGCCACTCACAATTTTAAGATTGAGGAGTAAGGGGAAGGTAGGGAGATAACGATAGGCCTTTATCTGGGGCTTTCTAGGTAAATAATTGCCAAACAACTCGTTCTGGTGGTGATGAGCTGAGGAATCCAAAGGCTGTAGCACTAACAGCAGGACGTATATAAATACATCCATATTTATGTATTAAAGCATACATCCATAGAATGCATTCTTCAAAATTCTTCTGCTTAGGGAATACATTCTTCAAAAGAACTTTTAAGAAGCAGAATTCCACAAGATATGCGGTCATAGTCCTCAGGAGCCAATTCTCCGGCATTCAGAAAGGGAATTCAGGAGGAGGAAAAGCATCCAGGCCTGAATGCTGACCTTATGAGTCAGGGTTATAAACACATGTGAGTCCTTTAAACCTGCGATTATTCGTGGAAAGTTTATCTGGTTTGCAGATCAGCTGCACTAGGAATGTGGCAGCACCAGGGCTGAGTCTGAGTGGAGCTGGCTGTGGGCTGTCAGGGCTGACGAGCCACAGCGGTGTGAGAACATGGATAAGCCATATCCAGCACCAGGTGCAGCAGCTTTTTAACTTCCCTGGCTCAGAGCCTGACCTAATAAACACTTTGAACCTGGGCTGGCTCCGCACAGACCCATCTTGGGAGTCTTTGGTGGCACGTTTGCTCCGCCAGAAGCGCTTATGGGTGTGATGTGCAGAGATGCAGGTGGCTCCACAAGGAGCCAGAGGGATTATTGTCCTGGACTGAGCTCCGGACAGGCTTTTTAAAAGCCTTCAGGTTATCTTAGCCCTGTATCCTGTCGGAGAAGGGATCCACCACCTCAGGGTTGGTACTACATGGATGACTGATGCTGGTTTGGGTTTGGTGTGGTGCTAATGCCAGAAGCCCCAGGAGGGTGTGCCATAGGGAAGAGAGGAGCTTGGGTCAGCAGGGCTGTGACAGCAAGGAAGATGGTGATCTTCTCACAAGGTAACCCCTGTGTGTGTGGAGTTATGCTCCATCAAGTGCCCCACAGTGCTTGTATTTGCCATTTTCACTTCTGTTATCTATCTACCTGGGCGATGAGCACCTCATCACCTGAAGAGCTGCAGATGTGGCTGTGGGTATGCCTGAAATCGGCATGTGAGTTGCTCAGGAGGAGAATACAGTTTGCAGTCAGTCTCAGGAGCAGCACAGCAGTCTCTGGTGCTTCTTTTTCTAGTTCTTCAGAAAGCTGTAGTTCAGAGGCTTTGCACATGGTCGTTTCATTCTCCAGGATGCTCGCTGTTCAGTGCAATAGCATGTTCTCTCTGAAGCACTGACCACCTCGCTCAGTGGTTTGTTGTGTAATTGTGATTTCCTTTAACTTGTGGCGATTGTTTTTACTTCATTTAAAGATTTTTTTCCCCTTTATATTTTAAGTTAGTTCTTAGAAGAATCCACACACACGTTGTTTGACACCCACGTGCATGTCTCTTCCTCCCATTCCCGTGCACATTTCCTTATTAACTCTATTCCAAACCAGAGTTTCAGTGCAAAGAAGCCAAACAACTGATGACAAAAACCAGTCCCCTCAGTGCTGGGGTTCCTGGGCTGTGGTGTGCACACACTTTATCCAGTGTGTGCTCTTCAAATCAACACATCTGAGGAGGAGGGAATGCTCTGACGGCATTACCTGCTGCTGCCACCACCATGTTTGTATCCGTACGTGCTGCTGCTGATGTGCACAGCAAAAGGGGAAAAAAAGAAACATAAAAAAATCATAGAGCAGACTTTTTATCTTTGTTTAAATGGCTTCTTGAATCACCATTTAAATCCAGACCTGCTGGAACTGAACCACAGGTGTATATATATAACAAAAAGAACCATATATGTACATATAGAGACCAAAAAGTAGTTGGGACGCAGTGAGGTAATAATTATTAGTGCCCATCCAGGTCCATGGAGCCACAGCTGCAAATTTAAGCAAAGCCAAGTTACTAGAGAAAGATAAAAATAATTCAGTTGTGGAACTTGGCAAGCCCTTTTGTTTGCTTGTGCTTCATCTGACAGTGAGGGGCTAAAATGTTGGTTTTGGCGTGCCAAAATGAAGGCGACGATCTTTCTAATAAAACAGGCAAGATTTAATTTTTTCTTTGGAATTGCATCTTTGAATTCTTAAAATCAATTGAAATACATCAGGCACGTGAAGAAATAGAGTCTGAGAGAAATACGCTTCTGCAGGCTTCTGGTGGGGATGGTGGGGGATGTGGTAAAAATGTTTTCTCCTCCTCTGACATCGTTCCAGTTAGTGCTGCAGGTGATGCCTCTCCAGGTAGGGCCCTGTTGCCATGCTGTTCCGTGCCTCTATTTTAATGAATTTTGACCTTGAAGGGAAAGGTGGAAAATAAGATTGTTGGGCTGTATTTGGTGAAATTATGATTGAGGGAGAGGAGTATGTTTGGAACTGGTCAGAGCTGACTTAGAAGAACAGCGTGGCCTTAAATCAAGAAGGGCAGCTTTAGATTAATCGTGAGGAAAAGCTTCCAAGCAGTAAGAAGAGAGGAGCAGCCACCTTGTGTGTGGGCACCTCTCCTCATCGATGATCCGTGAGCTGAGGGATCTCAGAGGGCATCGTGGTGTGCTGTGGAGCTGTCTGGTGGTGCAGGACGGAGCCATGTTGCGGTGGGATGGAGAGCTGGTGTCACCAGGAAGGTGTGAGTTGTTCTGAGGGTGCTGGCGACGCTCGTCCCTCACTGTGCATCGTAAAATAGGTGGCTGTGATAGGGCAGGAAAAACAAATATTTAAAAACAAAACAAAACTCACCATTTATACTTTTTTTTTTTATTTCTGGTTTCTTCGGAGTATACAGCCTATGAACTCCACAGTAGGTAGAACAGATAATAAAAAATGCACATACAGCATGGAAAAAAATCCATCCCTGAATCTTGTTGCCTCCTCCCAGACCTGGTGCTGCAGCATGGGGTTGGTCAGAAAACCATCCAGGAGAGAGCAGCTTCCCCAAAAGAACTTTTTTCCCCTTAATTTTGTGTATATTTGTTCTGACTTGCTTTGGAAGTTGGCTATTCTGAATTAAGAGTGCTGTAGCTGATGGGTATAAGAGGTTTGGGACTTGTTTAAACTATTTTGGGGCCATCCTTGTGTGTGTTAAAAGGAGCGTGGCCAGCAGGTCAAGGGAGGTGATCCTCCCCCTCTGCTCTGCCCTGGTCAGGCCTCACCTGGAGTGCTGTGTCCAGTTTTGGGCTCCCTGGTACAAAAAAGACAGGGATCTCCTGGAAAGAGCCCAGCGGAGGGCCACAAAGATGATACGGGGCCTGGAGCATCTTCCCTGTGAGGAAAGGCTGAGAGACCTGGGGCTGTTCAGCCTGGAGAAGGCTGAGAGGGGATCCCTTCAATGTGTATAAATACCTGAGGGGTGGGAGACAGAGGGATTTGGGCAACCTCTTTTCAGTGGTTTGTGGGGACAGGACAAGGGGCAGTGGCCACAAGATGGAGCCCAGGAAGTTCCGCACCAACATGTGAAGGAACTTCTTCATGGTGAGGGTGACGGAGCAGTGGGACAGGCTGCCCAGGGAGGTTGTGGAGTCTCCTTCTCTGGAGATATTCAAGGCCCGTCTGGATGGCCCTACCTGGGCAGCCTGCTCTAGGGAACCTGCTTTGGAGCTGGTGCTTTTTTGGGTGGCGAGGCCCTAGCTGTTGGGCTGTGTGGGATTCAGGTAAACTAAAGGGGCAGGCATCGCTGGCGTCTTGTTCTGGGGGCAAGGGAAAGGCAGTGCTTTGAGAACTGCTGTTTTAAGGTGCCTTGAACTGCCATCAACCCCTAAGTGACAAGCCAAATTTAATGAAAAGGTGCAAGTCAACCTGTGGATGTTGGAGTACTTTGCAAGAGTATTTAAACAGAAGGAGGTTCTCAGCTTTGCCTCCAGTGGGGCTGCCGTGCAGCAGCATTGTAGTCTCATTAGGGTGAGGGCTCTTGAAAGAGCTAAGCGCAGACGTCCCTGGTGCTGCTCGGAGCGTGTAGGCATGTAGAAAAAGCATAAAAAGCAATTTAATGCCTTGTGCCAGCTGTGATTCATGGGCTGACGGCTGCTCATCCATTGTGGTGAATGGAAGTTTGGCTGGTTAAGTCCTTGAAGTTCGGTGTGGGCAGGGCTTTTAATTTTCTTGTGTTCATTTAACAGGATTGGGACCAAAGGCAGTGAAGAAGCTGCATCGTCTTTTTGTGTGTTTATTTGTTTTTTAATCACTGTAAAAGAATTGTGACGTTATGATCCCTCACCTTAATTTGGTAAAGAGGTACTTCAAGAGCTAAATGACTGGTAAAGAAAAAAAAACAAAAAACAATTCAGCTATGAGAGAAATAACAAAACTGGGGTTTCACGGTCTGAATTACTCTGCAGTCTACAATTTTTCTGATGATTGTGTTCTTTTGTAGACTTCTGAGTGAAGATGAATTTAGCAGAGATCTGCGATAATGCCAAAAAGGGAAGAGAATATGCGCTCCTTGGGAATTATGACTCCTCGATGGTCTATTACCAGGGTGTAATCCAACAGATCCAGAGGCATTGCCAGTCGATCAGAGATCCAGCAGTAAAGGGCAAATGGCAACAGGTAAGGTGAAATCAGGCTCCCTGTCCACTGTTATCTGATACTTGAAAAATACATTCTACATACATTCTGTGGTATAAAGGATGTATATTTCAACCAAGTTTTTAACATTTTCTTCACAGTATTTGGTTGCTATTTATGGGGAAATATTTCTTATGGTGTATTTAAAAAGGATCATTTTATTCTAATTGAACCTTTTTTGCTTTCTCTTGTGATGTTTCATCACTACTCACTGGTCTGTCTGTGTGTGATTGCTTACTTTGGCAAAACTGTTTTGCTGAAGACTTCTCTTTGCTGTTGTATTTTTTATCCAGTAAACTTAAGATGTGAGTAAATGGCTTAGCATCAGTGGAGTGCTTGTCTGAGTAGCAGGTAGCTATGGCACTACAAGGTACAAATTCCAATCAGGTTTCCAAAACCCCAAGTAATACCCTTAGTCTGGATCATGTATCACGTACATTACCATTCTACACGTATGTATTTTTCATTGTAGAAAATGCACTCCATCTGAAATAATAATATTCAAAGGATAAACATTGAAAGGTATGTTCCAGGAAAAAAAAAAATCATATTGTGCAAATGTTCTTTTTGAAAGAACATACCCCTTTGTAAAGATAAAATTCTGCAGTGGGTGAAGAGAAGATTTCAAGGAGAGTTTCTCTAAATATTAGTGTTTAACTAATGTCGCTTAAAATGGAAGCAAATTTTTATGTTTATTGCAGCAGGTGCTTTGGTCATGATTTTGTGCTTCAAGCGTCTGGCATTTTTTGAATACTGACAGCTAAAACTGTTAGCAATCATTTCCTAATCACATTCTACTCGTAGGTCTTTATCACGACACTATAAAAGTCTGTCTGCTCATGAAGATGTTGCCTGCAAAATGTGTGTGCATACAAGCAGCAGTGATAGCTTAGCTGTCCTGATGCTGTAACAAGCTGAAGGTTGGACAGGAGATATTCACATTCAGGTGTATGGGTTCAAGCTCCTCCTCACCCCTGGCCGTTCTGGTACAGAGAGGTGTTCATCTCCTGTTCATGTCCTTAGTTCCTGATGAAGTTGTAGCTGGCATGAAGGTAGAACATGATTTTTTTTCCTTGTTCTGCAGCTGTGGCTCTGCATCGGCTTCATTTTCAGTATTTTGTCTTTCCTCTGATTACATTGATTCTTCCATTAAGCTTTTAACAGCTCTTGTCTTGGGAAAATTACTTCAAGTCTCACGACATTGTGTTGTTCCAACTGCTTCAGGGAAGCCTGTGCAGCATGGACTGGATGCTCTACGCTGCATACAAGCCTCAAGCAAAAAGGGGCCAGTAACAGTCTGCAGGATCACTCCTTGGGGAAGGCAGCTGGTTCCGTAGCAGAGGATCTAAAGTTGGCACCTCCTCAGAAATTACCCCATTTTAAAGAAAACCAGAACGGCCCCAACAGTGTCCCTTACACTTTAGAGAGAACTATCCCCAGAAGGATCAGCAGCAGGTGGGGTCGTGCCTGTCATGCGGCGTGCTCGTCCTGGTTCTGAAGCTTCCTAGCTCAGCAGTGGTGGTGGATATGCGTGGTCAGAACATGGCTTTGCCATTACTGGTGCCACCCTTGGTTCAGGGACAAATACCAAAGAGTAAGAAGCGTGGGGTGGAAATAAAAATACTGTTCTTCATCCCCAGGTTGTTTGCCTTGTCGTAAATTGATGGAACTCCCTGTAGCCCTGGGAGCAGATGATAACCCTGTCAGCTTTTCCGTAGCTGCCCCTTTTCTGCTGGGATCTGGAGAGGTAGACGTGCTTTCTAGCCCACTCTAGATAAATAATTGCAGTGTCTTCTCACTCACTGAGACAGAGTAAGAGGGACTGTGATGATCTGGATGTTAATGCTGCTTTCCAGCTCCAACAGTGTCTGCCTCCAAACTGCCAGGCACAAGCAGTAGCTGTCAGGCACACTGCCTCTTACGAGAAAAGTAAAAGAAAAAAAATATATTATCACCAGAATTTGTACACATAGATTTAGCAAAATTCAGGTCTAACCCAATAATGCACAAAATTAGAATATTTTCATGCCCTTGTGTCCTCTTGTAGGTAGCACCAGAAGCAAAGCAACCTTAGGTTGTGGTTAAGGGGATGAATGCTCATGGGTCTTATCTTAAACTCTGTCTCATCTGGAACATGGAACAAACCTGTTCTTTAGTTACTTTAGTTTCTTCATCCCCTGCTGAACCTGAGGAGGATAATGCCACTGGTACCTGCTGGAGGTGGAGTTTGGCATTCTCTAGGCAGGCAGAGCTTTAACTGGTGGGCGTGATCCACGGCGTGAATGTGCATGTAGGTAAGTGCTCAGAGGAGAAGAAAAGATTATTATTTAAACCAGTTCTTTGGGATCTGCTGGCTGTACGCATCTTCCCAATCTGCCTTCCTCCTTGGACCCCTAGAAGGATTCCTGGGAAACGGACGCTGAGGAAATCTGGCAGCATGAAGCGTGCCCTTCTCTTCCTGTATGGTTGTGAACAGGGTGATTTTTCTTTTCACTTCTCAGGTTGAGAACTGAGTTTAAGGTGTTTGCATATACATTTCCTCCTAAAACAGGAATGCCTGTGAGGGTAACATACCTCAAAGTGCAGTTACAGCCACGCCACTGCAGCTGACCGATTTTCTCCCCATATGATCACTTCTCCGTAGGGGTGCTCCATCCTGGGCAACTCCCTCATGCTAGGTGAACCTGGCTCGTCGCTTTGTGTACGCCATAGGATTTTGCCAGCAGTTTTTTGAGGGATGTAGAGCAAAGGTGAACCAGAACTAGGAAGGATTTGGGGTCAGACTCCCAAACACTCTTGATCCACCTCTATTTGCCTCGGTGTCATCGTTTTTATATTCGTACAGGTTGCTCTGGACAGAATAACTCGGTGCCACGATCCGACTAGTTGGTAGCTTGTCTTCCACAGCACAGACAGCTTCAGCTTTGCAACTGGGCACCGTGATTTCCAGGAGTTCTTGTGCATGGCAGGGAGAGGATAATTAGGAGGAGCAGGAACGTGAACGTGTATCATCTGCTCCTCTGGGAACGACCTGATGGTGCAGCTCCACATGGAGCAATGCTGCATCCCCAGCCTCAGAGCCAGCGCTGAGTAGGGGAGGGAGGTGATTAGTCTGGGGCAATCTGCAGGATTTCAAAAGGACAAAAGATGAGTCCTGGAGGTCAGTGCACGGCCTGCCAAAGCAGCAATGTGACGAGATGAGAATTCCTCAAACCCTTTGGAAAATTCAGAGGGGTTGAGGTTAAAAAAATTGGCCGGGAGTCACCCCGTTTAAAATCAAAAGCGCCTCACCTCTCTCTCTGCTTACCAACAATAGAAGGTAGATTTCCTCTCTTGACCGCCGTTGTGAGCTTTACTCGTTCTGACATTCCCCCTGTTTACTCCCAGAGAGTTTCTTGGCTGCTGTGGTCTTTTCACGAGACAGCTGGCTTGTAGGAAGGAGCTGCTTCGGTGACAGGTCGGCAGCTGCAGAACGACAGCTGAGCGTGCCCCTGGGAGAGAGCGCCGGCTCACAACAAGGCCAGAGGCTGTTGAGCAAAACCTGCTGCGTGTTGTAACCGTGCTGCGTCTTGCACGGTGTCTGAGGGTGCTGAAGCTGAGGCAGAAGCTCGGGGATTCTTCTGGAGAGCTCTGAGCAGCCACCAACATGCCCTCTCCATCCATGGTCGCTGCAGCAGGTGATGAGGTGCACTGCAGTCTTGCTCAGAGAATAAAGGTTAATTTTTAGTTTTAATCTTAAACACATTTCGGTCAGTCTGTGCTTATGTTGCTTCTGCCTCTTGCCCATTTTATTAACACTTCACAGATTTCTTCGTGAGTAATTAAGGGATATTCTGCAGGCAGCTCGTGAAGTTCCATGAATGCTGGAGCTGTGCTTTGACTCCTTGGGATCAGACAGAGTGGTTGGGGGAATTACTTTCATTTTTTTTGGATGGAGATAACAGCTAACAATAATTGCAGGCAGTAATTTCAGGTTTGCAAAATGCTTTTGCAGAAACTTGATTAGCTTAGTTCCAGCACGATGCAATTAAAAACAACCCCACATGTTGTGTGCATTCACCAGAGCATAAAATACCCATGTTGCGGGAAGTTGTGTCGAAGTGCAGGCTGCAATATAATGAGGAAAAGCTGTTGATCCCAAAGGTTACTGGAGTTGCAAGATTTTGAAATACAGAGGAACTCAGAAAAGTTTTTTTTGTTTTGTTTTGGGTTTTGTTTTCGGAACTATCACAAGGAGGATTGAACCCAGCTCTGTTTTGCACCCATGTGCTGGGACGTGCTTTCTGCACGCTGACATTCTCTGTCCTGGTGTTCTTCTGATTGCCGGCTAGTGAGCCAGCACAGCTTGCTAACCTCACAAAACTCTCCTTTATTTATATGTGTACTTGTTTATTACCCTCCTAGGGTAGTTTTCTTCCAGAATTGAATCCAGAAGAGTTCCCGTAGAGTGTGGTTAGGTAGAAGAAGTAAGGAGAGCGAGACCTTCTTGTTTGGCAGTGGTGAGCTGTTAAGCCTGTGCTTTCTCTTAAAATTACTTTAACATGAATAACCTAATTTTTTGGGCATTCTGTAGAACCTGAGCTGGAGCCATTTGGGAGCCCTTACACCTGAGGGAAGGGGCAAGGAGACCGGGTGAGCCCAGCCCAGTGATTTCTCTGCAGCTTTCCAAGGCTCCTGCAGAGCCGTGCTCATCACTCAGAGGCTTGGTCACCTCTGTAACTACAGGAAGCTCTCTCTGCACCTGTTTCATCTGACTCAGTCTCTTTAAGGCCTCTGGGAATTTGGCAACTGCTTTTCCTTTGTGGTTACGTTGTCTGAGTACGTTGAGGGTTTTTAGTTGCCTTGCCAGGTACCAAGTCAGTGGCAGGGGCTGAGTAATTCAGAGTTTGGTCTGCTCACGTCTTGATAACGAACAGCTGTTAAATTTTCAGCTCCCAAGGCACCAAAAGCTCACTTTCTCTGCATTTTCAGATACCACCCTCCTTCCTGCTCTGGTGCACTGGTCCTCAGTGGTGGCGAGTTGTTCCCCACTACATTTCCACCAACTTCTCTGTGCGTGTTGGAAGGCTGCGAGGAGGAATCCCATCGGTGTGCCTGGAGCAGCGGCTGTCTCCTGGAGCGGGCTGTGTGCTCGTGGTGTGAGGCGAAAGCAGAGGGAGCAAAGCAGGGTGGTGGGGCACGTCGAGCATTGACTGCCTTTGGTAGAACAACCCTGCCTGAGCTGGGTGTCCTGCATCTTTGGAAAGATGCAGATATCCCATCAGGAAGGAGCAAGAAGGCTGCTCTGCCATGCCCTCGGGCACCTTTGTACAGACGCAGGGAGAATTCCTGGTGAACTAAATGCGGTGTTGCAAGAGCTGAGCAGGACCTCAAATGCTAACCCTTCATTTTTGCCTCCATCCTTGCTGGCATCTGGCTGAGGATAGTCATATATGTTCTTCTCCTTAAACAGGATTTAAATTTTAGTCTAGAGAAGCATTTCTTTGCACTGCTGAAATGTCCTAATTTCTTCTTTGTGGGGGGAAGTTCCTGGAAAATATTACCGAGCAGAATGAGACATCACCGTAGGAGGTACCTGGTAGCATTTTAGGAGAACTGTAACTTCCAGGAGGAGGTGATGCGTGCTTGGTTCTGAACGCTCTCTGTTCATTTTTTCCTACCCCACACCCAGCAAATGGTTATGTCAGACGGCGCTTTGTGTCTTGAAGTTTTCCCAGCAGAAGCAGAGAGCCACTGCTGCCCTTTTAAATACGGAGAGTAGGGTTGGTGAGGAAAGGTGCCGTTCTGATCGTCCTGAGATTGTGAGGGAGAAATGGGATAAGCAGGTGAAAACCAGGCACGCTTCTGCACTCGTGCTGATGAGACACAGCCGCCTGCACTTGCCCGTTGTGGTTCCTTTCTAGGCACGCACGGAGAAGAGAAGATCTCAGGTTAGTGGCTACATCATTTCATCAGTAACCACCACCAGGAACAGTGTCCGTGAAGCATGGTGCTGCTCTGTAGTAGCTTCCTGATTTGCTGCTGTTAGATTTGTCGCCTCAGGAGGCAGGCTGGCCGTGCAGACCTCCTTTCTCCTCTCCTCTTGATTTGAGCAGAATCTGCTCAGGATTCACACAGCAAAGACTGTCTGGATTTCAGGCAGCATCACTGACATCTGCTGATGTTGTCCCCGATTGCCTTCCTCTGTTTGCCACAGAGCAGAGCCTCGGTGCAGCATTCCCAGGCAGTGTTTTTCCCAGCTCCTTCTCATGTGCACACACGACGTGAGCACAGCTGGGTGTCTGTGTCTTCCCTTGGCTGTCTCACAGGCTGGCTTCTGCTCCTGGCTGTAGGTTCAGCCCGGCAGGGTATGGGGTGTGCTGGTTGTGTGCCTGGTGGCAGCCTGCAAATACCCTTGCTGTAGCGTGTCTCCTCAAGGGCTTTTAGGGACTCTGTGCCTTCCTAGAGGACAGAAAGGTCTGAGATGGTTCTGTAGTTCCAGGTACCAGCCTGGTACAGGCAGGATTCACGTTACCCTAAGGTAATCCTAGCCGTGGTGTGCCAATCCTGATCCTCAGGCACACACAACGAGGCAGGGATCGGTTTTAGCTGCACACCAGCCCTTTGGTGAAGAGGTGACAGCTGGAGGCTATGACCCTTGAGCAGCTGGAGATGAAGGAAGCGTGGAGGCTGATCCCACAGGATGGAAAGCATCAGTGGGCAATAGGTGGGAGACGGGTAAAATGCCATACAAGAGCACTTAGGTGAATCCAAGTACATCTTAGACTAATGCACCGAGAGCTCGTGTTTCTCAGCGAGGATGCACAGTGCCTTTTTTTTTGGCTGCTGTCATGTGCTAAGAACCGGCAACCTTAACGTGGAAAACTCCGTCTCATAACAAGCCGTATCACTTAAAGCTTGTCAGATTTCTTCAGAGATTGTTCTCCCAGGCTTCATGGACAGAAAACATGAAGTGAACCCATATTGAGTAAATAATTTTGAAGTCACTGCAGCAGTGCTAAGTGGCAATGGAAAAGTCAAGTACGTAATTCAGCTGCAGAATTCTGCAACCAGGTTTCTTTGAGACATAATTTCCTCTCGTTCTTGGCTCGCGTGCTTTACTTATCACTTGAACTGATGCTGTAGGGCATTAGTGATCCTGTTTTTCTCTTCTGGTCTTCCTAATCCAAATAAGAATGGTGTTGTGCTTTGACTGTATGGTAGGTCTGTGCACGTCACAGTTAATTTTACAGCATTTTATTTACAGACTCAGTTTTATAACTATAACCTTAGAGATTGTGCTTCTTTTATGCCAATGTTAAAGATCTGCAAATGTTAAAGAATGGGCTCTTACACCATAAAACCACGTGTGTGTGTGCATATGTGTCAACATGCACGTGTAAATCTGGGCAATAACACGCATTATGGAGCAGTCATTAAAAGTCCCATCTCCAAGTCTGGTCGTGACACTCACAAGCAGGAAGATGAACCCAACAGATTTGACTTTTGATGGTGTTGTCAGCCTGATAGGGCTGGGGTTGGTGAGTGCTCAGCTCTGGAGGGCAGTGTATGTTTTGAACTGCTTTCTGTGGTTTAAAAATAAAGTTGGAATTGTAACTATTTCTAAATTATGTGTTTCTGAAGGTCCGACAAGAATTAGTTGAAGAATATGAGCAAGTTAAGAGCATTGTCAGCACTTTAGAAAGCTTTAAAATGGACAGACCCGCAGATATCCCTGTGTCCTGTCAAGATGAGCCTTACAGAGACCCCGCTGTTTGGCCCCCTCCTGTTCCAGCTGAACACAGGTAATGAGAGGCTCAGGCAGGGTGGATGGAATAAAACTGGTTTGCCTCAATTTCAAGTTCCTTTTCTTCTTGAATGTATTTGTAACATGAAAATCATTTCATTTATGCCCTAGTTACTTCTAATAAAGCTTAAATATAATTCGTTGGGGGGAAAAATGTAAATAAATTACAGTCAGATTTATTACTGGAGTTCTAAAGAAAGTCAGGCTTTTATTCTGGTGGGAGGGACTAAGTCAGTCCTGGAGCTAGAGTCTGCTGGAGAGCTCAGTGAGCTTTTGGTGACAGTTGCCTTTGTCATATGCAGAGAGAAAACTTTTCCACTTCAATTTATTTAAGCAGTTGAATTCGTTTATGGCTGAGGACTCTGGAAAGAGCTGGAACTGGAGGAGCTGGAAGGACACAGTGGTTAGAAACTGCTCCCTAGTTAGAGATGTGACCTTTATTGAATCAGCTGGTTAATTTTTTTGCTAACCACGTTCTGCTGTACATGCTGGTTTTCCTTTTGTAACCACTCTAAAAGTAACTTTAACTAACTAATAGTTTTCTTAAAATAAATTGCACATGTTTTGTGAGATTCCTGGTTTTACCCTAATAGAGCTTGACCCAGGTTGTTGGAAGAAAAAAAAAAATCTAATTAAAATACAAGAATAAAGGTTAATATGCCAACATTCTTCTAATATTTTAATAACAAAGAATTTTGATGTTGGTGTACTCATATATTCAAAGGAAAAAAAAAAGGAAAGTGAAAGATCTGGGTTAGCAGAAAGAAATGCCAAGTTTATGTGTAAATTCATGTGCTGCGTGATTTTCAAACAAGCTGTTCTTCACTTGTAGAAAACCCTAAAAAATGTAAATGTAAAAATAGTATTAACGATTCCTTTAGTGAGTGGTAGAAATGATTATCAGAATTTTATGGTAATGCCACGGGAAGTACAAGATAAATTCCTTCTTGTATCTGTAGTAGAGGTAAGGACCCCATAGTTCATCTGCATTTTTAAATGCTGAATTTAAAATTTAGCTGAAATTTAAATTTTTTGCACGTAAGTAAGGAAAACTAACCACTCTCCTGTGCCGTTGAACTTGATGAAAATGTATACAAAGCAAAATGCAGCAGTTTTATGGAAGGCTGCATATCCATACGTACTCCTTTTAAGTCATCTTCCACGAAAATGTTTTTTTGCAGTTAGCAAATTTTGAGTTACTCAGAGCAAGGCTAAGTAGAAGATCCAGGAGGGAACTCTAATTAAACTTGGGTGACACTTCTGGCCATGTATTTTCAGTTTTCTGTTTCAAGTTTGATCCCTGGAACAAAATGGCTGTGACACCTCGTCACAAAAACCAATTCTGCCTCCTCATGCCACTGCTGAGTTCCCTTTGATACCGTGGGTGATGCACGCAAGTACAGGTGCTTGCAGTTTGGCTCTGCTTGCTTTTGCTTTCTAGGCACTTTTTTACGTTTTGACATTTTCAGGGGAATTAATTTGGAGGTAGGAGGGTTGTTTTTAAAATCCTCTCTTTCTGTTTTGGGACCTGTCAGAGTTATTAGCCAGCATTTATTTATTTTTTGCTAGCAGTGTCTTTTGGCTGTGTAGGACTTGTGCATCTGAGTAAAGCCTGATGTATTCAGAGGAAACTGTGCTTCCAGCACTTTTACCAAGTTGCTTCCTCTCTTGTTGCAAGCATACAGGTTTGCTGTAAGATTTGTATAACAGTATTGGCTGGTATAATATAATAATATTGATAATTTTCTTTTATTCCCCACTGTCGAAATTTTGTGTTTTGCTTTTTTTTTTTTTTTTTTCTATTTTTGATTGTTAAACAGAAATAGGTTGCTGGGTTTTCAGATATCAAGAGCTAAGACACCGGGGCTTGTCAGCTCAGATGATAAAATCACTAAAAGCCATTAACGAACTACTAGAATCCTCCCTCCTTAACACTGCTCTCTTTACTCTGTTTTTGTTGTGTTTTTTCTATCATTAGGGCCCCACCTCAGATAAAACGTCCCAACCGAGAAGCAAAGCCCTTGAGGAAGGACTCCCCAGGCCTGCAGCCCCGGGGGCCCGCGGGCAGAGCGCACCCGGCGGCCAGGAGCGACAAATCTGCAGGCAGCCGCGACAGGGAGCCCAGGGCTAGAGGCAGGGATGACAAGGTAAGACATGGGGGGAAGGAGCTGCCATGCACAGGTGAAAAGGGAAGCATTCATAATTCCACTTATTAAATACAAATTTAAAAAAATAGAAAAAGAAACCACAATAATCCTGACCCTAATCTGTCAGGGTAAAGTCCCTTCTCCCCCCTTTTTTAAAAAATGGGTCAATTCAGGTCTTGTGCAAAGATTTCCACATAAAAAGTACAGAAATGAGACCAGCGCTCTTCTCTAGCCTTCAATCATTACATTATTAATTCCACAGTGCTGTCGCTGCTGCCATGCCATAGTAAAATTTGGGTGTGTTTTCAAGTCTAGTAGAGTTTTGTCAGTGATGTGATGGTATGTAAATGTGTGCCAAGTTGTCTGAAATTACATATTTGGAATTGGTGTGAAGGAGATGCAGCGAAAGCAAGCTCTGAGCAACTTCAATTTTCTTTTGTTTATGAAAAAAAAGCTTTTGTTGTTGTTATGGTGTTTAGGAAGATGCTTCTTGGAAAGGCTTTGTCCTTTTTTTAAGGAAAAAAATAAACAACAATGCAGTGAACTGGAGTAAGTTGGGGATTCTTTCATCTGTGGACCCGTGACAAAGAAGCAGTGCTGAACTGATAGAAAAGGAGAAACAGTGACTCACTGTCAAATAATGATGTCAAAGCATCTGATATATAGGAAGGACTGTTTTGTGGTGGAGAAAAATGCCTGTGTGCGCAAACTGCTTTTTGAGGAGCTTGCATTTTTCAATTCAGCTGTGGAGTCAGTGCTGGGAACACGAGGAATCTGTGGTATATGTGATTCAAGTCCAGAGCGGGCTGTAGTGGCTTTCCCTTCCTGACAGACAGTGATAAAAGAGGCCCCTTCCTACAGGGCACACGCTCAGTATTGTATGGCTCTTGGCAGACAGATCAGAAAATATTTAGTCCAGTTTTCCTCCAGATGACTTCGGTTAGCCCCTTCGTGGCCTTTCTATTGCAGGTTGCATCTCAGCGCAGGGAAAACTTAAAAGATGACCTCTTTCATCATAATAAATTGCTTTTCTGATATTCAGGGAAAGCAGTGAGTAATATCAGCCCTCGTCACCGCGAGCAGGTAGGGCCAGGCACATCTTCAGCAGTGCCACCGAGTGACCGCACGGTTAAAGCGTAATCATTTTAGAAATCTCTCACCTCTGTATCAGGAAGATTTAAGATAACAAGGGTATGTCCTACAAGCTATCAAGAGCTGGTAAGGATCTGTGAACTTGTTTACAGTTCTGCCAGCTACACCAGGGCTTGGAGGCGTTGTTTGTGACAGGTTCACCAGCTGCGTGTGTGTGATGCAGCCTTCAGAGCCTCGGCTCTAATTAAGCTGAACTCTGCTCTCAAAGATTTCCTCGGATGAGCATTACTGGGTTTACTATAAGGAGCCCAACAACAACATGACTCGTACAATACTTGTCTCTGGGAATAACGTGGTTGGTGACACTGCTGCTGCCAGGCAGAGGAGGTCCTGAAGGGCTGTTTAACATGGCACGTCTTAAATGCTGCCCTCATCTGAATAAATCGGTCACTAGGTGGCAGAAGGAAAATAGCTGCTCATGTCTACTCAAAAAACGTGCTCTTCTCTTTGCGTTTTTCTAGCTACCTGGTGGTTATTTTGCTTTCTTTGTCTGAGGTACGTATGCAAAAATCACAGCAGGTTACAATTTCTTCCGTTGTTTGGTTATTTATGTAAGGAACCCATGGCTTTCCTTTGAAGAACATTTTGAGTGAAAGAGTAAATAGCCAGGCAAGGGAAGCGAAAGAAGTTAGAGCAACTTCCCGTATTTTACACACAGGCATGAAAATAGGTTTAACTTCCCTCTCAGATTTATTCTTTCTTGGTCTGCAACTGTTGCAGGCTTTCAGTCTGGAGTAAAGCTAAGAGAAACTTTCCTCTGTGGCCTACTGTGTAGAATCACAGAATGGTTTGGGTTGGAAGGGACCTTAAAGCCCACCCAGTCCCAACCCCTTGCCATGTGCAGGGACGCCTCCCACCACACCAGGTTGCCCAAAGCCCCATCCAGCCTGGCCTTGAGCACCTCCAGGGATGGGGCATCCACAGCTTCTCTGGGCAGCCTGTGCCAGGGCCTCACCACCCCTCAGAGTGGAGAATTTTCTCCTTATCTCTAATCTAAGTCTCCCCTCTGCTATTTTAAAGCCATTCCTCCTTGTCCTGTCATTGTCTGTCGGAGCAAAAAGTTGCTCCCCATCTTTTTTATAATATTAAGTACTGAACAGCTGCAATGAGGTCACCCCAGGCGTTGAATCACAAAGTTCAGTAACGCTTTATGTTCAGTTAAAAGCAACAGTTAAAGCTTTTCCTAAGATGTTTGCTGCAGTGCAGTAGGTTGTACCCTTTCCTGGCTATAATATTACCATGCAATAGGTATATTTATTTCTAATATTTTTCCAGCAGGTACAGGAGGTACATTTTAAGAGTATTTTGCCTGTGTATGTGAAGCCTTTTATCACTGTTTGTCCTTCCCAGGCCATATCGTCTTTTCATTCTGGCTGTATCCATCCTGCTATTAGGAGTTTTAACCTGACTGTGCCAGTAAATGGCCTTTTAGAGTGCTCTGTAAAATAATTTTGACCTGAAACCCACACGGATGGTGTTTATCCACTAAACCCTTACATTTACACATTCCTTTTTCTAAAATACTGCTTTCAAGTGCTGCTTTCTTCTTATTTCCATGGGAAATTGTTGGGCTGGTTCTCAAGGTACCTTCTGCTGCATCATTTCCAAGAATCACCGCTTCAGTTCAATAGCTCAGCTTAAAGAGGAGGCATGGATGTTACCCTGTATGTCTTTTAGAAGCTGCATAATACCATACCTGGATGCTTTTATGAGTAGTCTTCAGATTATTTTTGATCCTCAGTGGGCAAGGATGGGTGCTGCAAAGGGTATGAAATAGCGAAGGGCTGTGCTGCTCTATCAGTGAAGTGAATATTAAAATCGATCAAGATGTGATTTAAAATACCATAAAAGAGTGGTTTTTTGCTCGATTATTCCAACATGCAACATCAGAAGCATATAGGCAAGGCAGGTTATGGAAAAGAAGATGTGAGATGAGGTAGCTGCACGTAGGTGGAAGTACAGACCTCCATGAATTGGAACTGGAAGGCTTTTTAATCTCCATCCCAGAATAAAGAAAGAACTGGTAGGTGAAATGGCAAGACTGGGAGCAGGGATTTCCAGTAAAACTTCCTGGGTCTGCTCTTGTCTTAGGGGAATTGTGAGTTGTGTTGACCATGCCTGTATTGAGAAGGGACAAGGAAAAGGGGTCCAGGCAACTGGAGTTGTTAATTTTATCTAAACCGTACGCAAAGTTGTGGAACAAACGCAGAACGGAGGGAAAATGAACGGCTTGAGCACAGGTATTGCCTTTACCAGCGCTTTCTGTGAAAGAAAGAACTCAAACAGAGTTTGAGTTAATGTCTTAGGGAAAGAAATTCATCTACGTGGCTGCCACATGGGAATTAATTAGTTAATTTAGAGGGTGTGTGGTGTAGAAGAAGAGTCGGGGAGGAATTAAGCAGCAAGAGGAGTTTAAACTGAAAGTCTCAATCAATTGGCAAATTACCTGTGGATTTCCTCAGGACCAGGACTCTTCTTTTACTCTTAAATTAATGGCCTTGGCACAAAGGTCATCCCGTTGAGGAGGATGACACAAGAGGAGTTGGATGTCAAGGAAACGGGTCGGTGGTCAGCGGTGCGGAGCAGGCATGCCCTCGGAGGCAGTAAGGGCAATTTCTGCTGGAGGATGGGAGCTCGGCAGCTGTGGAGAAGAAAGGCTGGGATGTATCAGCAGAAATCATCGTGTCCAGCTTTGTTTGGCACGTCCCCTTTTCCCTGGCGGTGCTGGGAAGGGCTGGCTGCCCAGCTGAGCTGCCACCTTCGGCTTTGGCAGCACGGGGTGCAGAGGGCATCTGGCAGTTGTTGCTTTTTCCTCTCTTCTTTCTCTCCCTCTCTCCCTTTTTTGCTTTTCCTTTTCTCCGTTTTTCCCTCTTCTTTCAGCTATACCACACTAAGAGCCCACCTTGGCTGGTCTATTTGTCCTTTTTTCTCCCCCTGAACCTCTCCGGCAGGCAGCCCTGCCTCAGGGCCGTGGGTTTGAGCCGCTCCAGCCTCCTCCACCAGCTCGCCCTGCCTCCTGAGCTGCCCTTGCTCAGTTTCACTCTTCCACTAGGAAAATCAGTTCCTTATAGAGGAATATGAGAGCGATTTTAACAAAGACAGCAAATACCTTTTGCTTTACTGTGATTTTTTTTATAGTTCCATTTGGATTGCATTTTCTCTCTTCTGAAACCTTCCGAACTCCACGGGGCTTTTTCTCTCCCTTTCCTTTCTACACCTTGCCATTACGTTTCTGACACCACCTTTTTGGCTAACCACAGCCCTCAGCTTGCTTTCCAGCGCAGAAACCCTGAGCTGGGAGCACTGAACAGCACCACGTTCACTTGGAAGGGAGAAATAAAAACAGGGGGGAGGTAAATCTGCTCCCTCACCGGCCTCGGGGGCAAACGGCGGGCAGGAGGGTGCAGTCACTGCCTTTTTTCCTTTCTCCTCCGTGAGGTTATTTGTGTGTCTCCAGCTGCCTCTGAGCCCTTTGCTGAGGCTGCTCTTGTGCCGCCAGCTGGGATGCTGTAACCTGCTCACTGGTGGCATTTGGAGGCTGAGTTGGAGAGTCCTGCAGCAGCTCCTTGGGCACTTTCCATCGTCAAAGGCCCGAGAGAAGGAGGAGCACGAGCTGTGATGCTTCAAAGTGAAAATATTGCATCGACCCCGTAAGCTCGCTGGTGTTGTGGAGGCATTAAGCCAGAAAGTGGGGGCTGTCAGGGGCAGAGGAAGGACTGGACTCAGTTGCTCAATGGGTTGCAGCTTGCTGCAGAAATGACTGGAGTTCAAAGAAGCCTGGGTGACCGGGGAGCTTGCTCAGGGCTTTCAGTGCCGTCCTTAAATGAACATGACCTTTTGGCAAGCTTTTAACTCTTTACAGAGCTTGCTTGTGAATGAGAGAAGCGAAATGGCTAGCTTGCAGGAGAAATTGCCAGGCAAGAAGGCTTTATTTAAACACCAGGAGAGACCCTTCGCAGTTTTCCTCCATCAAAGACAGTGGGTGTAAGAGCTTCGTGTTCTTCTGTCGCGGTGGGGTGCCCCTGGCTGAGCTCAGGCAGGGGATGCAGCAGGTTTAGCATCTTCCAAACAGGCTTCACGTGGTCTGGTCTTCAACCAGGCTGTAGTGCAGCACGAAGTCCCAGCACCATCTCCATTCTTCCACGAGTTGCATTCATGCATTTGGCTGGCCAAGAAATGTGTCAGGTGTCTAAAGAGTGGTTTAGCACTGGTAAGAGCATTGGGTTCACTAATTTAACCAGCAAACACGGGTGTTTGGGGGCTCCTCATGGCGTGCAGGGTGTGAAAACGTTGGTTGTGCTGCCCATTGTGGTGCTGCATTAAAGCTTCACATCATCTTGTGGCTCCAGCAGAGGCTAAACCAGCCGTCACTGCAATGTTTTAATGGTAAAGGATATGTGCAAAGCAAAATGTCCTCACGAGCCTGTGTGACTTTCACTTCTAGGGCAAGAAAATACCCCAGGAAGGTGTTGGTGATGGGGAAATCCCAAAATTTGACGGAGCGGGTTACGACAAAGACTTGGTTGAAGCTCTTGAAAGGGATATTGTGTCAAGGAATCCGAGCATTCATTGGTATGAGGATTTTCTCCATTGAAGTGATTTTGCCAGCATTTAAAGGGGGAGGAATTGTTCTTCTCCTAAGCCTTTAAAACAGGGAGCCACCGCAGTCTCCTACAAATGAGCAAAGCAAGATCTTTTGGTTTTAACAGTGTATTAATTTGATGACAGTCAGGCTCTTGCTGCTAACTGGTGTTACGGTGCAGCACATCCACTGCAAGTGCTGCCGAAATAAAAGCGTACTCCAGAGATCTCTAAAGATACTGCTTGGGTGTTCGCGTGATCCAAAACAATTTTTAATTAAGCAGCTCAGAGAAACTTGAGTCGGGAAAATCATTTTTTTCCCCCTACCTTTCACAAATGGATTTAGTTTTAGGTCGTGGGATTATAGGAGTGCTCTCACGAGGCACACGCTGGCATGCCAAAAAGGGGATGGCAGCAGGTGAAAAGCTTTTGGTTGTCCTTGTGTAAAAGCAGGAGGAATATTGCTGTACGGGAATCTCATAAAAGTTTCTTCTCACTCAGGGATGACATAGCAGATTTGGAAGAAGCCAAGAAATTATTAAGAGAAGCTGTCGTCCTTCCGATGTGGATGCCTGATTTCTTCAAAGGGATCCGAAGACCTTGGAAGGTGGGGATTTATTTGGTGTCTGAGTAAATGGCAAGCCCTAGTTATGCACGTCTGCTGTTTTAGCATGTGTGGCTGACTGCAGTCGATGGCTAAAATGCCAAACAGGAAAGTTCAGGAATTTGTTTCGTGAAATCCTCTTGTAATGATTCACGTAAAATGTGCAGAAGTAAACAGCTGGAAATGGATGCAGGCTTTACACTAAATAATTCTCTTGTGCTTACTCCGTGATTGCTTCTTGATGCTAATACTTTCTGTATGTCAGCCTGTACACGTTAGCAAGCATATAGGGTGCACTGAGAGAGGCAGAAACGCTTAATGGGAAGCTCTGCTTAATAGAACGGCTGCTCTTCAACATTTCACCGAGGAAAGCAGTTTTGGGAACTGTTTTATTCTGCATATGGTAGCTCTTTTTTACTCTGACTACCAACTGCAGGCAACAGCAAGGATATGGGGCTGGGCTGGGCTCCTGATGGACCAGAGACGAGCCTTCTGGTTCTGGGGAAGGATTTAATGATTAATTTAATTTAACTGGGGAGGACAGACTCTGTTACAAGTTGTCTGTCATCTGGAGTCTCCAAAGAAATGCGTGTGTAGGGATTGCTGTGTCCACGAGTAGTTTTTTAGTCCGCTGGCTCAGCAGCATACGTCAGACCTTGCGTTACTAACGCTTGCCCCATCTTCTCCTGTTTGGTCCTCATGCTTCTCTTCAATGTCTATTGAAACTCTCTCCTTTCGTCTTGGCACAGAGGAATTTGATCCATTCCTTCATAGGCTATGGAGGCTTCACCTGTTCTGCCTTCAAAAGCTTTTTAAGGGATTGAAGAACTGTGCTGCTTTTCCACCTAACATGTTTGGAGCACGTAGTGGCCGTCTGTCTTTTAAGGCAGGTATCTCAGCAGGCTGCAGGGAATGTAGGGTGCTGATGGCTTTGTCTCTCCAAATATTGTGGCAGTGGGTAGAGAAACAACAGCCTCGTCTTCAGAGTTAGTCTCTTCCTCTTTGCATGGGATTATCCTTTCTTGCTGGCCAGTATCACTTCTGAAAGCGAGGTGGTTGCAGATGTGGAAAAAAAAATGCTAAGATGATTTCCTCCCTTCAGCCTGAAATGCAAATTGATTTCTGACGAGTCCATGAAGAGTCTTCATTGTTAGCCTTTCCCCTGGGGGCTTGTGAAGCTGTAACTCTCCTGAATTTATTTTTCACGTAGAACAGCATGTGTTTTCCCTACTGCTGACCTCTGGCTGTGCCACAAGGATGAGAAGCTCTGAAGGAAGGCTGCTGCTCGCGGTAATCAGCGGAGCAGCAGGCGTTTGTTGAGCCTGGCCATTCAGGACAGGAACTCGGGGAACAGGCAGCCAGATATGGCTTGGGATGTTCAGACGCTGCCGAGAACAATTCCCACGACAGCCCTCGCAGTTTGCCCCTGCATTCATTCCCAGGACGCTGCCTGGCACGGAGGAGCCAGCTGCCTTCCTGATCCAGCACCGGGCTGTGTGCTTGCAGCCGCAGGTTGCTGAGGGTCCCAAGGCTTGCTCCTGCTTTTCCTCTGAACTGTTTTGTTCCAAGGCCCGCTTGCTCCCTGTGCTTCCCACTGCTCTGCTAGTGATTGTTACAACAACAAGAAGTAACCCTGCGGTGATTTCATCAAAACACTTACTCCCCGTGGTGTGTTTCAGCTTCTTATTGGAATACTTGGGATTAACAGAGCCTTAGAGGAGGAATAAAGAAGCCTTTGTGTTCGTCAAGGATTTTAACTAGTGAGTAAGTGGCAGCCCCTCCTAGTTGCAAAGAGAAAGAGCAACTTGATCCGATGTGCTTCTCTTTGCAGCCGTGAACACCTTGTTTTCCTGAGTCTTCAAGGTTTGTCTGCTTTTTTTTTTTCATAGCTGACTTTTTTCTTTTTAAATCTCTGTAGAACATGGTGTTCCCCGGGCTTTGCACCTGTGTCAGGCACGTAGATAATGCCACCACTGTCCTGTGCTAGGTAATGCTCGCTGAAATACTTGTGCAGGAGGCCCAAAGCGATGGGCTTCGGGTTCAGCAGGGAGCAGGGTGTGTGGCTGAAGCTGGAATTTGCCCTTCCAGAATGATGGAGGACTAAAACTGCATCCAAAACTGAAACCAGGACACAAAGAAAGGACGTTAGCCCCTGGGGTCACTAGGTCCAGCAGTAAGTGCAGTTTGTTGAGCCCAGGTGAAGTGGGATTTGAAGTGAGGCTCTGCTTGTTTTAAAATATTAAATAAGCACATTTTGAAACTCCGAGAGGCCGGTAAGTCAGCTCTATTACAGGCTGAGTAATTTTCACCCAGGCACTCCAGACTTGTACTTGCAATATTATCACAACATCAGCGTGACTCTGCAGCAACTCAAATCCGTATCTGTCTGAGTGCTCGTGTAGAGTAAAAAAAACTCAATTTACTTTTCATGCTCGCTGCCCTGGAAATTCAGGGAACCTTGAGCAGCCTGAAGAGTGACATTGGCCGTTAGCTGCACGGGGGAAGGATGAACATTTCTGACTTAATTTCCCAGTGAATGTATGTTGAGCTTGCATTAGCTAAGTGTTAAATGGCAATAAAGGTATTAAGAGTTAATGGAAAATGGAATACAGACAGGCGATTGCTTTTGAAGAGTTCGTTTTTGAATAATTGCATTCCCGGTTGATTTGTTTTTATAGATCTCTTCCAGGCCATTCTTTGTGCTTTTTGAAGTAAATTTTTTGTTGCAGGGAACAGCTGAAATCTAATTTGCTCCGTGGCTTGCATTTAACAGATACTTTACTGCTGTGGCGTTTTCTGTAAGATATTAATTGCCAAGCACATTATGATGTGCAATTCTAATTCCGGCTAATTTCATTACCCCTGCAACACGCCACAACTTTACTTGAGGAAGCTCTTGTTAGTATGTAGTCAGACCTTGCCATTGGGGAAAAAAAAAGCTGCTGGTGCACCGCGATTTCATAGCATGCTCAAAACGCCAGTGGCCTTTTCTAGTGCTGTGAGGGGGTGGAACAATGTGTTGTCCCAGCTCTGGTGCTGAAGGGGTTGGAAAGATGATTCACAAAGGTAACTATTTAAGAATGTTATCCTGATTTAGTGCTGAGAGTGAGCAGTGACCTCTGATGGGTCAGTTATCTTCAGAAACCTGCATTGTTTTTGTCAAGGCTCACTTAAAGAGCCTGTCTTTGCTTTATAGTTAACCAGCCTCCGTGCTGCAGTCACTACATGGGTCGTGAGAGCACTCGTGTCCAGCTCAAAACCTGCTTGTATTGTGCTGAGACAATCATGGAATCACAGAATGGGTTGGAAGGGACCTTAAAGCCCACCCAGTCCCACCCCCATCCAGCCTGGCCTTGAGCACCTCCAGGGATGGGGCATCCACAGCTTCTCTGGGCAGCCTGTGCCAGGGCCTCACCACCCTCTGAGGGAAGAATTTCTTCCTAATACCTCATCTTGTAAAAAAAAAAAAAACAACACCAACTTGTAAAAATCAACCAGATTCATACATGCACTTGGTTAGGATTTGTTGGCAAAATGTTGTTCTGCAGAAAAATGCTCTACTTTCTGCAAAAGCGTTTTGGTTTCTGTGAAACTTTCTTCACGAAGCAGCCTTTGTTCCAAAAAGATGACGACTTCACTCTCTTCATCCACGTGTACAGCCACCTGTGAGACGGGAAGGGCCCAAGTTCAAGTCTGGGCTCTGTCTGTTTCAGAGCAAGGCTGTAAATCTGTCACCTGCCTGCCAGGTGAGAGCTGCAGCAGCAGCTGGTGCCTGTTGTGATTCTGGCTCGGGTGAAGTGGTAAGGCAAAGAAATGGCAGAACATTTTCATGCTGCTCTCATTATATGGGATATCTTTGTTTTCCACTGATGACAATTATTCCATTAAGCAGTTAAAATACAGATTTGGGATTATATTGAGATGTAGTGTAGAGGACTATAGTGCAAATTTCCTTCATTTGTTGTTCATCCCCTTTGTTTTCACCTCTCAGGGTGTGCTGATGGTTGGTCCTCCTGGCACTGGCAAAACAATGCTCGCGAAAGCTGTTGCTACAGAATGTGGAACGACCTTCTTCAACGTGTCCTCCTCCACGCTGACATCGAAGTACAGGGGCGAGTCTGAGAAGCTTGTCCGCCTCTTGTTTGAAATGGTACGTCCTCGATGATGTGCTCTGGGGAGCTCCAAGGTGAGCAGGGACCTCTCTCTCGGTTTCCTGCCCCTCAGTAGTGCTCTGAAAGTATGGAGCTTGCTGCACCGAGACAGCAAAAGACAATCTGTGTGTATCCTTCTTGTTCCGATATGTCACCGAGGGTTAGGAAGGAAATGGTTCATCGCCTGTGTTAAGGAGAGCTTTTTCCAGGCTAAAGGTAACCTTGACAGAAATTCAGTTACTTAGTTATGGGATACCAAGCCCGTAGTAACAAGTAATTTGAAATTGGAAGGGCTTGGGAGCTGTTATTTTATATACAAACATTAGTTCTGTTTCTGCTCTGAGTGATGGACATGAGCTTCTCAGTCAATTTTTGAGCACAGTCCATCATGCAGGCTGTGTGAAAGACAGGATCTACTCTGCAGGGTCCTTCACCTCTTTGGGATCTTCATTTCACTTCTAGCACACTCTCAGTTGAAACCTCTCTGTTTTGGGGTAGACTGGGTTCCTTTCTGTTCCCTGTGCCTTGCCGTCACCAACACAAAAGCCTAAACATTAAAAAAAACCTGCCTGAACAGTGCTTGTGTTCCTTTTCCCCTTTTCAATGCTGGTTTCTGAGGAAAACCAACCAACACTGAAAGACCTCTGACTCGAGAGGCACAATTTGAAGTGTAGAAGCTTAAGCAGTTTGTAAATCAAAGGTTTTGAATTGTTTTCTTGTGACAAACGGGGAAGTCATCTCCGTGGTATTTCTGCCTGAACTGCGTCGTGGTCAGCTGAGGGCCTGTGCTTGCTGCTTCGGTCTTAACAGCGGTGCTTTCATTTGAATCAAGGCGAGGTTTTACGCTCCGACAACAATCTTCATAGATGAAATAGATTCCATCTGCAGCCGCAGAGGCACGTCTGACGAGCACGAGGCCAGTCGCAGAGTCAAGTCGGAGCTGCTGGTGCAAATGGACGGTAAAGATTCCAGGCTTAGCTGTAATTTGGGGGCCGGGGTGCTGTTCCGTTACAGATGGGGATGTAAAAAACTCGAACCAGCTGGAAAACCTAGCTTTGTGGGTGGGGGGGAATAAGAGAAATTGGGAGGAGTGCGTTTTCTGAGTGCTTGAAGGCAGATAACGGAGCAAGGTGCTCTGCTTTATTTCTTTCTAAACAGCCATTTTGATGGAAAATTGAGAACTCCTTTTTAAGAGGCACCTTACTCTAGGAGCAGCAGATAATGGGAATTTGAGAAGTTTAAAGCAAGCCTTCGTTTCTGATGCAATTTAAACAAATTTCTCTTATTTCCTCGCATCTCCTGCTCAGGGACCCAGTGACCAGATCTCATTTTGCTGTGGTGGCAGCTAACATTACCCTTTAAGTCACATTTAGTATCACTTCTGTGCGACACGACACACCACCGTGAGGAACATTATGTGGCGTAGTACCTTGACAATCACCTCTACACTGCAGTTGCTGTTGAGCCACCATTTATAATTGCCTCAAATATTCACCCTGCGTAGGCAACTTTTTGCCCCAAAGTGATCATTTCTTTGCAGTCCTCATTTGGGAGGCCAGGGGGTGATTTTGTGACCTCTGTGGCCAGATTTGGCAGAGAGAGCGTTGTCGGTGGGGCTGACAGCACTGCACTCACATATTAATTAATACATATATTTATTAACACACGTTATTTCACACATACAGTGTTATTAGCACTGCCAAAGAAAGCCCTTCCTTGACTCAGCAGAAGAATGAACTGTCCCAATGTCTGTGGCAGTGATGATCCTGCCACATCTAAGCCATGGAAAGCCTGGAAAGTGGCTCTAGGAGCATAAGGAGCAGTTGCTGAGCTTTGTTTGAGCTTTTGCAGTGTTTGTGCAATGTTTCTTAGCAAGCATCTCAAGTGAAATTTCTCCCAACCGTTGTGCTTGCAGGGGTAGGTGGTGCTCTGGAAAACGACGACCCCTCCAAGATGGTCATGGTGTTAGCTGCTACCAATTTTCCCTGGGATATCGATGAAGCTCTCCGAAGGAGACTGGAAAAGAGGATTTATATACCTCTACCCACAGGTACGTTTGGAACAAGCATTTTACTTTAAAATGGCCTTTGCAAGCCTGCCTTAGCACTGCTCTGGGACTGCTGGATTTGTGAGGAATTGTGATGCTTTTGTGATGAGCAGTGAAATTTAGGAGTTAATCGTTTGGTAGGATTGCTTTATATTTAAAAAGAGTGAGGAAAAAAAAAAACAGCTCGCTTGGGGGCTTAAAAACAAAGAGCTGCTGCATTGCTTTGCAAGCCCATTGCTGGCTTCTTACATTTTGAAAGGGAGCTCATTTTAATGAGCCTGGAATTATTTTAAATGTTTAACAGTCAGTCCTTGAGTGATCATCAAAGGCACCCTTTGGACACGTTAAGAAATACTGCGAACGCACCCATGCCCTCGCAGACGAATGCAAAGAAGTGGCTCCGTGAATTTGCACTTCCAGGCTCAGTGCCTTGTAAATCACCGCTTGCTTGCCTTAAACCAGGCTTCGAGCTGCTCCGAATGCAGCGGGCTGATTGCCTTCCTGCCCCGCGACGGCTCAGCTCGGCTCGTCTTTTCTGGCTGTCACTCAGCTGTCCTATTAATTTTGAGATCCCCAGCGCTTGAAGTTTGCGTGGCTTTGTTTCTGCGCCCGTGCAGCGGGCGCCTCGTCTCCCTGCATGAGCACTCCAGATAACAAGATGCCGCGTGTGTGGTGACAGCAATTGTGATTGAGCCGAGCAGGTATAAGGACACTTAATAGGCCTACAGCTTGTCTGCGCAGGTTACAGGCAGCAACAGCTACTAACGGGATGCCTGTCTTTATGACCAATTAGTTTAAAATCCTATCAGCTCCTGCTCTTGTTTCTAATTAAGCAAGGTTGTTTTTTTGACACAGTAGATTACACCCTGGACAACATACAAGATGGGCTCCTGTTTTATTTCCAGCCTTCTGTGCCGGCGCGTTTATTCTGTGTATAAGGAAGTCGAGCTGTTCCGTGCAAGCCTAAATGATGCATCTGTAACTGCCTTGTGGCGTTTGATGTGGCCAGGCATTTTAATTGCAAAAAAAGAGAGAGATTTCATATATACACCTCTATATTGTAGCATTTGGTACAAGTATATATCTGCAGTGTTTCATTTTTGGATTACTGTTGAGGCTTGCTTATCCCAGTAGAAAAATCAGACGAATATTCTCTGAGCCAAGAAGCTCTCTGCAGGTACGCCGTGTGTACACTGCTGTAAATAGTAAATCCCCGTTTTATATCCAGTGCCAGCTGTCTGATTGATACCTGCCTGCATTCCTGACAGGTCTGTGAAGCTCTCCATTACCAGCAGCCTTGGATGAGCTTTCTGATTCCCCTCTGCTTTTATTTATTTTAATTTGTGGTGTCAGCGAATAGAAAGCGTGGATATTTCCTTCAGACTTTTAGCTTTTCCTAGTGCTACTTCCCCTGCCATGGCTGTCCTCTTTTCAAAGCTGTAAAAATTGGTCCCTGTGGATATGAAGATGCTGAGCTGCTTTGTGGTTCCGCACGGCAAAAGCCAGGAAAGCATTTGTCCCTCCTTCAGCACCGTTACGCAGAGTAACACTGAGGCCTGAGCTGTCAAATGCAAATTCCCTGTTAGAAGCCTGGGCTCTTTAGTGTATGTACCCCAACGCGCACACTCCTGTGTGCTCTCCACGAGCAAAATGGTTAATTGGCTGCGTAAGTACTCACTTACACAGCTGGCTATCCCTGTGTGTGCGCTGCACCCAGGTCTGAAAGTGGGATGCCAGGGCATTTGGGTTGTAAATACATTAATGTGTTTACCCTCTTAATGTATCTGTTTTCTATCAGGCTTCAGCAGCTTTCTTGGGTCCCAACTGGGTGAAGTGCTTAAACACATGCTTAAAGTTCAGCCTATTGTTAGGGCTTTGGTGTTGTTTAAAGCTCTGCTAATAGAATCCTCGTTGTGTTTTTAATGAAACTGTGTGACTAATATGCAATCAAACACCCGAGCAGAGAATGAATCCAAAGGGATGTGAGAAGCAGCAGACGTTTGTAGCCTTGTGCTTTAGTGCCTTTGGGTAGCATGTCACCAAATGCTTTGTCACCTGAGACATAACAGGCATTTTTAATGATGTATGCCTTTGGAAGGCATCTCCAGAGTATGCTGTTTTTAATATCCAGTTTTAAAACACATACTCTACTGTATTTGATTGTGCACTTTGCTAAGATTTATGATTTGCTCTGTCTCTTTTTCCTTTCCTTATATTAAAGCCTTTTGTTTGTATGAAAAATCTAAGCTGTGCTCGTATCTTCTTTTTTTTTTTTAATGTTACTCTTGCATGGCTTCAAACAAATATTTTTTTGTGTTGTAGCAAAAGGCAGAGCAGATCTGCTTAAGATTAATCTCCGGGAAGTAGAACTGGATCCTGATATCAGCCTCGAAGAAATTGCTGAGAAGATTGAAGGTTATTCTGGTGCTGACATCACTAATGTTTGCAGGTATCTCCTTCCCCTTAATTTGCAAACAAAATTGCCTGGCAAGTCGTCATTTGCATTATGTGATAAAAGGCAGTGCCCACAACAACTGAAGCCGAGCTAACAGCGACTACTTTTGGGGCCCAAATCTATTTACTGAAAACGTGCATTGCTGTCATGTGGAGCACTCTAAAAACTGTGGTGTTTTGCATGAGAGGTGAGCAGGTTTGCTTAGATCTAAAGGAAAAAAAATGGAGCAAATCTTGTGTTACCCTTGTCTGCATTTACTGATGTTTGTTAATGCAGTGCACAACAGGGTTGGATTCTTTTCTTAAATCCTGTGAGGTGAAGAGCTACAATTCTGTGATTGTGCAATAGAAAAGATTTTTTCCTAGAATTTTTCCCCTCTTTGGGGCTTCCCAATGGTGTATGCTTGGACAGCCCCAGCGCAGCAGTGTCTTGGTTTTTGCTGGAATTGTATAGGTGCAGGGGTATAGCGGATAGCTTATAGCATTAGTATTGAATTCATTTCCATCCTGTTTGTGCAACTTGTGTCAATTTTTGACAAATCAGGCCTTTCTGGGGGAGGACAGGTATTTGAAAAAGCTTACCAGTAGGAGCTGTCCGTCCCTTACAGAGATAGGGTCCCTGCCAAGAGAAACTGATCCTTTAAGAACACAGCTTGGGATTATTTTTTTTATTTCCCTTCCTACTTTGCTGAAATTGTGAAATGACTCCATGGTTTTGGGAACTTGGTGTGTGTCACACAGTGCAACAGTTAAATGACCTGTTATCCCCTGCTGGGAAAAAAACTGGGGGGAGAGAAAAGGTAATTTCAAGCTGCATGTGGGCTGTACCGTGAGAAACGAGCGGTGTTCTCGAGGAGAGGAGGAGCAGAAAGAGCACGAGAAGCCACGGGCACCAATGGCCCCAGCCCTGCAGGGCCACGTGGTGTTAGCATTTGTTGCATGGCACTTGCTGGCTGCCCTCTGGGGAGAAGGGGAAAATCTTAAATCTTAAAGAGGGGTCTGTGAAATCCAGAGTGCTTTTGGGGAAGAAAAGGATGAATAGATAGCCCCGGGTGCAGTTCCTCTCCCACCGTTGAAGATGAAATCCACAGGCTTACAGCACGTGCTGCTGGCAATCAGCTCCCAAACCTTGTCCTGTATTTCCAGGGATGCCTCTCTGATGGCAATGCGGCGACGTATTAACGGCTTAACTCCGGAAGAGATTCGGGCTCTTTCGAAAGAGGAGCTTCAGATGCCGGTTACCAAGGGGGACTTCGAGCTGGCTCTGAAGAAAATCTCCAAATCTGTTTCTGCTGCAGACCTGGAGAAGTACGAAAAATGGATGGCGGAGTTCGGATCTGCTTAGCCTCACCGACAGCTCTCCCTTGCTAGAGTTTTATGGCTTTTGTTGTTTTCACTTGCAAAATGAATTGGAAATCTTTTTTTTTTTTTTTTTAAAGGTTTAATAAAAGGTCTGCCTCCCCTCCCCGTGCTGCCCCCCTTCTGGTGACAAGATCCTTTAAACTCCATTTGCCTTTAAAGGGAGCGAACACAATAACGGGCTGATACTGTAAAAAATATATATATTTTATGTCTGAAATAGTAAAATCAGACAAACAGGAAGGGAAAAAATACTTCTGAGAAAGATCTTTTCATTTTCCCAATGAAGAGCGGTATTGTTTACCTCCTAACAGTCATCTTTCATGGCTAGAATCAGTAAATCAGCTGGGGGCTCACTGCACCCCCTGCTCCAAGTGCTGTGTTTCTAGTGAGCCGCCCACTCTGCCTCCCCTGGACGTGGCGTCGACGCTGCTGGCCCTTGCTGCTGCTCTCCGCACACATTTCCAGAGCGAAGCCTGTGGATTAATTTAAATTTACATGGAGGAAACGAGGATCGGTTTGCCATCACGACGTGGGCTCGTACACACCCCCGTTTGGCATCGATGTGACTGCAGGCTGGACCGACGTTGCTTTTTTGACTTCTCCTGACGGAAATGAGAGGAAAAGAGAAGGGCCTTGGCTGCTTTCAGCCCGTACCTGATCTCTGCACATCGTTTGTACCCGTTTGGCCAGTAGGCACTTTGACTTAAGTTATACCGTGCACTTTTATGCTTCTGTAGAATCCTGTACTTTGCTTTCTAGATATTTTCCTTATTGTTACTGTTGTTATTTAAGTAGGACTTCAATACAGTAAAGACACTAATATCAAGGCTGTCCTCAAACTACGTGACTGTGGACTTCCAGTTCTTCCAATTAGGCCTGAGCCCTTTCCTAGCTTTACTGGGCGATGGAATTTGCACTTGTTAATGTTGCAGAACTGTTCAACTGTTAATGTGTTTTGTTTTGTTTTGTTTTAATGAAGGTGTCTTTCAAATGTACAAATGCAATTGATTTAAGGGGAAAATAACCTGTGCAGTATCACTGATGTTCTTATCTGTGTCTTCCCTTCCCACGTGCAAGGATGAGAAGGGAGGGGTTATAAACCCTAGCAGAGAAGTCCTCTCTGGAGCATAATTGTCACGCTTTTCACAGACCTGGGCTGCAAGTCTGGCAGGTGAAGGTTTCCCATGGAAGGAATGAGAAGGACAGGACGGATTTACAGAGGAATACACAAGCTCTGAAACTCGTGGTGATTTTGTGAGCTGGATGCCAAGCAGCACGTTGGCTGTGAGTCGCTGTGCAGTTCAGGGGGTGACTGTGCCCTCTGGCTTCCTGCTGAGACGTCAGATGTGGGGAGCCGGAATATCTTCCAGTTACCTCTTGGCCAGGGAGGTCAGTGCAGGGAGAACAGCAGCTTTTCCCTCTTCACCTGCAGGCAGAATAAAAGCTCCCCTTTCCTCCCGGCTGCCCGCTTGGCACCAACAGCCCTTGGGCTTCGCAGGCTGTGGAAGGAGCAGCTCTCTCTGTGCTGGAAGATGAGCAAGCACAGAGCCGTGTTGGCTCTTTATAATTTGGGGCTAAATTCCTCCCAGGGCCAGTCTGTTCCTCCCAGGGAATAACTGGATCTTTACAGAGAGAAAGCTTTGAAAGCCTGGCCACAGCACAGCCTGTCAGTTCCTCCTGAAAGCTGTGTGCTGCGCCTGTTTTGCTTTGCTTTCTTTTTTTTTTGCTTTTACTGCAGTAGAAACAGGTAAAGCTCTGCCTCTTCTGTGGCCAGTGCCAGATTAGCACTTCAGAGGCTCTCGCTGGTCTCACACCACTGCTGCCCGAGGAGCGAGGAGCTTACTCTGCACAGGCAGGCACTAGGAGGGAAGAGACGGGGATGCCGATAACCCACGCCCTTCGGCTGCCCAGGAGCAGTGCAGGATTCAGCAGCATTTTACTTTATCAAGGTGTAACTACTCCTTTTCTCAGCTTCATACTGCAGGCAGCAGGGCCCTTGCTGCTGCTGGAAGCACCATGTTCAGCAGAAATGCCCGTGGAGGCTGGGTTATTACCTCAAAAAGGGAGCCAGGATGCAGCAAGGAGGAACAGGGAAGGAAGGCCGGGCCGACAGCAGTAGCAAGGCAAGACCCTACACGAGTCCAACACCCAACCCCCTGTTGAAACCCTCACTTAGGGGCTGTTTGATTCATCAGAGAGTGACAAACTGACACATCACAGCCTGCTGCAACCATTTTTTAGGTCTGTCGGTGTGTGGATGTGTGCACGCGTGGCGCTTTGCTGGCTTGGGCTTCCCCTTGCACAAAACCAGGTTTCAGAGCTGTGTTTCCACGTCCCCTTCCAAAGGTCTGTGAAACGCCTGCCTGGGTGGCACTGTTAATTTTGGTCCAACGAGCAGTTTGGGTGTACAAAGTAATAAACGTACATGGAGAGTCTGCCTTGCTCTGTTTCCAAACGCAGATTGTTTCATCGTGTCACAGCTGGTGTTGGATCCACCAAAATCCTGGGCGGAGAGCAGTTAGAGCAGAGCCTGCTCTTTTTTGGGTAGCACTGTCAGCAATGCTTTCCCTCTTAAATTGGCCTTTCATTGCCGCGGGCTATAAAACCCGAAATGTTCCAGCATCCAGCACAGGGACGGAGGGGGGAGAGGCGAGCAGCGGCCCCAGCAGATGTTCGGTGTTAGCACCTGATTCAGACCTCACAGAGCTGGGCAGGTTTTGGTTTTTTTATGGCTTGCCCCTGGGCTGAACGTCTAACCAGGCTCCAGAGAAGCTATCATCAGCTGCTCGCTCACCAGAAGGCTTTCAAAACCCAAACTCCCATTAGCAAGGAGCTCTCCGGGCTGCAAAGAGACCCCACATCTCTTGGGGCCGAGTCGATTATTTGAGCTTTCTCGCTGACTTCCTCGTGGAAGCCCAGCTGGTTCCCAGCGCTTCACGAGGCCTCCAAGATGAAAGAGCGAGCGGGGGAAATTGCTGATCGAGGGATTTGGGGAGAGGTCAAATCTTTGCAGAGAAAAGTTCAGCTCACTCGGCTTTAAAAGGGGCTGCCCGATTAGCACTGGGTTGCACTTTCTGCTTCCAGTTTGTTTGGAAATACCCACCACTGTTCGTCCACCTCGCAGCCAGCCTTTTGCAGGTGTGCTCTCCCACTCGGTGGTGGGTATTTTGGGCTCACCGAGCAGGCCTGACACTACGAGAGATCTTCCTCCTCCTGCAGGAAAGGTCACCAGCGCGGGGAAGGTGAGAGGAGACGCGCTGAATGCCAACGGGACCAACGGGGACAGAAACCATAGCAACTCCATGCAAGGCTTATAAATCCAGCCCCAAAGGAAAGGGGAGAACCCGAAGGAGCTGCCTGACAGCCCCACGGTGTGCGTGGTGGTGAAAGCGGGGGGCTCTGCGTCCTTCCCAGGGAGGAGGATGTGTGTGAGGGGATGGAGGTCTCTCGGTGAGCAAAGGAAGCTGACGGGCTGCATCGCCCGCCTTGCTGCTGCAAAACCTGCCAGCCTCCAGGGCAGGTTTTGTACAGCCACAGCAACGTCTGCCTGGCACGGGAAGGGGTTTGAAATCCCAAGGGCTTGCTTCTCACCTCGAAACGTCCTCAGGGTTTTGGGTATCGTAGTGTTTTCCAGTTGCTTTTGGCTGAAGGTGCTGTGAGCCGAACCCAGTAAGTTTCTTTCCCTTCAGTACCTCCTGCAGGCACCTCACAAGGAACCTGTGCTGCTCCCAGGGCTGGCAGGCGATGGCGTCGAGGTGCTGGCCCTAATCTCGCCTGAATTTCCTACAGAGGAGAGGAAAATGGATGCGCTCAGGTTTGTTTTCTTGTTGGTTTGCCTGGAAAGACGAAGCTTGGTGAAAGCAAGGTGCTGCAGGGGAGGTTATTTACACTGCGTCTCTTCTGCGCAGATTAGCATTTCCTCAGCATATGGCACAGCCGCTCAAAGCAAATATTTGCCTTTCTTTAATTCATGCCTGTGTAGGAAGGGCCCTGAGCATGCAGATCGATTCCTCTGCTGTGCCTAACGAGACATTTCTGCCGTGGTGCCCGGAGGGTGCAGGCGCTGCCACATAAGCGCCCCTCCCCGGATCCAAATCCTCACCCAATTTTGAGATGGAGTCACCGCTGCCAGCGACCCTTCTCCAGCTGCGTGGCACCTCCAGAGGCTGGGCGTTCTGGGGTGATTTGGGAACTTGCTGCTGGTTTCCAGTCTAAATCCGTTCCCCCTTGACTTGCGGGAGTTCTCGCTCCCTGACACCTACCCTGCATCCGTGGATGTATTTATAGAGTCACCACGCGAAGCAGCACCGTAAGCTTTGTTAGCACGAGCTCCTTCAGCCCTTTTTTATAAGACAGATCCTCTTCAGCATCCTTTCTTTCCACCTGCACCCGCTTGGGTTTTTTTTTCTAACTCCAGTCACGAGGAGGGTGCACAATAAGCCACACGTGGCCAAGGACCCAGCAAGGCGAGGAAAAATGAGGTTGCCATGGTGGCGTGTTGTAATCAAGCAAATAAAAACAGCCAGGTCTCCCCGTCCTTCAGGCTGGGGCCAAGCTCGATCTCCTCCTGGGGATGGTGACTGGAAATGTGAGCTCCAAACGTGCTAAAAGTTTTGAGAGTCTGCAAGTCTGTATGGTTTTGGTGGCTGAACCTTTGTTTCTTACAGCCCGAGCGGTTTATGGACAGATCCCGTTTTTAAGGCTGTGTTTGCAGTGCTTATAACCCTTTGATTTAGGGTTCCTTGGGATGAGCCACGTTCACAGGTATTGACATTTCTTTCACCACACAGAGGCTGCAGAAACCTGGAAAGGTTTCAGAGCTGCACTGGGCTCTGAATGCTTGAAGACCACTTGATTCCTGGAGCCCACGGAGTCCTCCCGACTGTGCCCGTCTGCCAAAACACGTCCTTTAGGAGCAAGAAATCATCAGGGGAAGAAAATATTCTAGCTGCTTTTGAGATTTGTAAGCACCTGAGGAAGTTTTAAGGGTGAGAAGTTGCTCTACATGCCCGGCACTTTCAGATTGTGCTCGGGGCAGCTCTGGCGTTTGGGGCTGGATGCGATTCCAGCACCCGAAGCACTGCCTGCAGACATATATTAGCTGTGGGCATGCTGTGTCGTCTGCCAGACCTGCTCCTGATGATCTCTGTGATGATTTGGGCACTGCAACATTTTGTTGCCTTCCCCTGAACTGAAGATGTGAGCTGATGGGCAGTGCCCTTCCCCAAACTCCAGTCCCTTCCCGGGCTGGATCCGGGCAAGCTCACCGTGATGCCCCTGGGACCTCTGCCCCGAGGTGCAGCGTGAGCACCCAAACTCGCCTCCACCCCATCACTCACTTTGCCATCTTGCTCTGACAGTGAACACCCCTGTGGTTAAAAAGCCTGATTTCTAATTCAATTCAGTTTCTAAAAGTCTGATTCCTAATTCAGCTCTGAGCATTGGGTGGAGCCCATCACTGCCTCGCCGTGTGCCTCTCTCGGACGAACTTTTCGGTGCCCCTTAGCATCCCGAATTTCCTCTCCTCACATGTACTTACGCACATCACCAAATCACTCCTCGGGTTTCTTTCTGACAAGTTACAGAGGCTGACCTCCAGAAGTCTCCCCCATAAGTGGTTTTCCTCAGCTCTCAAGCCGTTTTTTTTATGGCTCTTTTCTTCACCCGCTCCAATTTTGTGATGTCCTCCTTAAAATATGGGCACCTCAGCAGGATGGTGTCAGCCTGACCAAGGACGTACGCAGAGATAAAATCACCCGCTATTCCTCTTCACAGTCCTCTTGCTTATACACAGAAGGACCAAATTAGCTCTTTCTGCTACAGCAGCCAGAAAAATAGGTCCCACGTTTGAGACCCGCAAGGCTAGAGAGCGGCATTAAAAGAGAAAAATGGAGCCGACGTGAAAGCAGAATTACAAACCGGGGCGGCGTTAATAGCCCAGCGTGAGGCCAGCCTGAACGCGTTAGCTGGAATAAAATGCTGAGAAAATGCTTTCTTCCACTTCAGAGCCTGGTAGAGGCCGGTGCCTTGGGTGTTTTCTCCAGGAACCTCTGCGGCGGGCAGGCTCAGCACCATGGGATGGGGTGTGCTGGGTGGGCTGGGGAGCGCTGTGGGGTCGGGGTGCTCCTGCACTGCCCGGCAGAGACATTTCTTCCCCAAAAGAGCAGTCAGGCACTGGGATGGGTTGCCCAGGGAGGTGGTGGAGTCACCGTCCCTGGGGGTGTTCAAGGAAAGAGAGGAAAAGAGGGCAAAGGAGGGAGCTAATATTGCCCTTACCCAAGGGAAGGTTGCAGGTAGGTATCTATATAAATCTCAAAACAAGATTTTGGAGGATGCCTATGAGTTTACAAAGCCCCGCTGTCTCACTCAGCGCTCCTAGCCCTGACACCCCCAGGCTCACATTCATTGAAAAATGCCACTCATGGGCTTGAGGTTGTCCATAAGAAACATGAAATCAAATGCAATGTGTAGATTTTGTTCCACCCTTGCATGGCAAAGGTCTCCCTGTTCTGTCAATATCCGATTGTGCCCTTTCAGCCTGGTGTAATGCCATGTAGGATAAAACCTTTCGTCGCTTGTTCAGCATCTCACCTCTTTGTAAAAACAGTTTTTTTTCTTGTTAGCTCACAGGGGTTGAGACGGTGTCCTCTGGTGATGAGACCACTTGAAGGTTCATCTACCAGTCCACCCTCACCAAGTTTTCCTATGCCCTGAATTGCTGCCCGATAGCCCTTCAGCCCCATGGTCCCCGCTTCATTCCCAACCCTGCCATGGGTCTGGTGGCTCCTGATGCCTTGGGTCAGACAGGGACCAATCACTGCCGGGGCCTGGGATCAGCTCTGGAGGCAGCATCTCAAAAACGGAGCCTGATAGAAAATCTCTCTCGGTGCTGCCATAGAAACTGAGCAGACTTCACAGCAACCTGTTGCTTTTCTCAGCTCCGGCAGCTCAGCGTCTGAAGTGACTTGACCTATGAGGACATTTGCATTAAGCAGCACTTGATAGCTGCAGAAATGAGACTGAAGGAGAAAGACGGAGAGGAAAGCCCTGAGTCTCTTGTGAGAGCCGCAGGGGGCAGGGGAGGCTGCAGAGGGGTGGGAGGCTTTGCTCTGGGGTGAGAAGGAAGAGGTCAGAGAGACCAAGGAGAGACGGACGGCCAAAAGGAGCTCACCAGGGGTGTGGAAGAAAAACCTGGAAGAAAATACCCATTTATTATTATTATTATTAATGATTTTTGCCTATTAGCCTTTTTGTTGTCATAATCCTTGAAGACACGACCATTTCCTTCTCCCATGGCCATAAAAAAACTCCGTCATCTAGGGTTTGGTCTCTCCGGGGCTGTCCACCCCACATGGATGAGGCCAGGGAGCCAGCTGGCAGGGTGCAGGCACAAGCCTGGTGGCTCCAAATCATGGGTGCTGCTGGATTTTTGGCTCTCCCTGCGAGGTTGTCGGAGACACGAGGGCAACCTTCAGCCTTCGCTGCTGATCTTGCAGGATGCCGCAATGGCTCCGCGTCCCCTGAGAGCAATCATAAAAGACTAAGCTGTCGTTCCGTGTGCTTAATGTGCTAGGAAATTAGATGAGGAGCTCAGCATTTAATTGCCAGGCTCAAGAAGCCAGATATTAGCCACGAGCCCCGATGTCTTCCTGATGATATCAAGCAACCCCATGGCATGCAGCGGCCGGTTGGGGTTCCTCCTCTCCTTCCTCCCCACACGTCCTGCTCGTAAGGGGGCACGGAGCACCGGGACCCTACAGGGGCTGAGGCTTGGCCCCTCATTTCTTGGCTGTCACATTGTCCCTGCCAAGATGCCAAGAGGTGGCACCCCCCTGATGCTCCTGCTGGGACACCGCAGCACGAGGTGGGCCTGAAGGGGCCGGGGCTGAGCTGTGGGTGAAGGGCACCCGAACACGGGGCTCAGCAGGGGGCTGGCACCCACCCACCCAGGCCATGTCAACCCCAAATAGCGTGGCTGCCCTCTGGGAGCCTGCTGGGAAGGGTTTTTATCCTATAATAACTCCAGAGCCTCCCCAGGGAGGGACGGGGAGGTTGTGTTCGGCCTGGGGGAGCGCCGAGGCCCAGCGCAGGGAACGGGGCCTGTGGTGCAAGCAGGGATGTTGTTGAGGGGCTGTCTGACAGGAAATTCCCATTTTTGGTCCAGCACGAGTGCGTTTTCCCTTGATTTTGTAAAATACCATGTCAGACAACCGTGAAGAGTGTGAATGGGTATTTGCAGAGCGGGGTGCTGGAAGTGCCCCAGCACCGCGGGCGCTGAGAGGGCTGCTGGAAGGAGCAGGGCCGTGCCCTCACACGAGGCAAGGAGCAACGCTTTGCCTTCAAACCCAGCAGGATCAGCCAAAAGGGACGGACGGAGGGAGAAGAGGGAGACCTCGAGCAGCAGGCTGTGCCTCCTGGTTGTTTCAGAGCCGAGCAGACAGGCAGGAGAGGTGCTGGAGCAGAGACGGGCAGCACAAAGCCGGATCCGCGCTGCCAATTGCACAGCCAAGCAAACAGCCCCGGGGCACCGGGGACTCTGCTGCCGCCGTGTTTTCGTGTCTGGGAAAGGATTTCTATTTATTGAGCGCTCGTTTGTACTCTTGAGAGCTACAAAACTTCCTCTGCCCACCTTCTGCTGGAGGCGTGTAACCGAGGGCGAGCTGCGGCTCGGGGGGAAGGAGCTTAAGGAGCTGTGCTCAGCCCCTAGGCTGCGATGCTCCTGTGGAAACAGCTCAGGGTTTTGTGGATAAAACCCCATAAAAAAGGGAAAGTCTCTGACTCGGGGCTTCGTGGCATGAAGAGAAAAGCTGGAGGAGGAGTTGCTGGAAGGGAAATCAGGTGGGACGATGCTGGGTCCTGGTGCGGGTCGCGACCAGGATGATGCCAGCATCTCCCCAGCCCCACCACCCACCCGTGTGGATGCAGGGCTTCAGGAGGACATACCCGGGGCCACATCAAGCCCCCAGCAGCAGGGCAGGACCCCACAGATTGTCCCTCACAGCCCCAGTGACGTGACGGACCCCAGCACTTGATGGATGGATGGATGGATGGATGGATGGATGGGTGGGTGGGTGGGTGGGTGGGATGAGGAGCATCATCCCTGCTCTTTCCTGGCTGCAAAATCATCCGCCTCACCTTCTCATGCAGCATGCAAACAGCAGCTGCTTGCACACAATATTTCGTGCGTTAGGCAGGGTGGAGCTGCCCTCTGCTGTCTCCGCTCCGTACTGTTTATTATTTAGGATATAAAGGGGCCAGCACGGGCACGCTCCTCTGCGGCCAACCGGGCTTTCTGGAAATGAGCTGTTCTTGCCTGCGGCACGGCATCTTCTCCTGGAAGGGTGCAGAAATGGTGTTTTGGCTGTCTGGAGCTTCCCCTGGCTCACCACTGCTGTATGATGGAGGAGGAAATTAAATCAGAGCTGTAAACACCGCAGCACCTGGATGACAAAGAGAGGATGGAGGGGCTCAGCTCGGGTGTCCCCAGGTGCTGCTTCTGCTTTCGGGGTTTTCTGGTGGTCCTTTGCCATCCCCAAGGCGTTTCTGCTGCTGGCAGGGGAGAGCTGGCTGAGGGGTGCTTTAGTGGGCAATAAATCCCTTGAATAAAATTTTAGAAATGAATTTAAATAGTAGCTTTTAAAGCAAATCATCCCAGCTCCACCTGGGATTGTCGTTTCGCTTGTCACACCCACCCTACCCCGCTTTCCTCTCGTCCTGCTCGATGCCACACCTGGAGCCTCCTGCAGAGCATCAGCAGCAAAATCTGGAGGGATCTGCGGGGCAGCCTGGGGGTGCTAATGGGGAATAAAAACTTTATTCCCATTGCTCCTCTTGGAACAAAATCGATGATTTGAAACCGAACCATCCCCACCCTAATTTCCTGTGATTAATGACCATTTGGTTGGACAGCCACAGGTTCCAGGAATACTTCGGTGTTGTTTAAGGGAATGGGAAGAGTTTGTTGGGGTGGTTTTGCTCTGGGGAACACAAGCACTGGTTTTGGTGGAGGACGGCAGGAGGCCGTAGCTCAGGTTGGGGTTTCGCCCAGGGGCAGCCAGCACGGAGCCCACAGGAGGCAGAAACCTTCTGAGAAGAGAGACTTAGTGCCACCTCCTGCCCGGTGAGCCCCTGGCAGCTCCTGCGATAGCCTCTGAGGTGAGGCAGGAGCCTGCACGGGGCTTTGGGCTCAGGGAATCAGAGGACAGGTGGCACATGGCAGCCCCTCATTGTGGCACCAGCCTGGGTGCCCGCGCTGGGTACCGGAGAGGACAGCCCTGGGGACAGGAGAATGGGAAGAAATGTGCTGTCCATCACCAGGGCTGGGTCCACAGTGCTTTTTTTAAAATTTTCTTAATTTTAGGTTGGTTTCTGCTGGGTGGGCACATGCTCAAGTTTCATTGCTCTGGAGTGGCCACCGCTGCACTTGACCCGCGCCTCTCTGCTCAGCGCATCTGGGGGCTCAAAGTCCATCTCCCCCTGCTCAGTGGCAGCATCCCTGCCCCGAGGATGCTTGGGGTGAATTTTGCATCCCTGCTGCCCCCACACACAGGTCCCAGGAGCCCCCAGGTGCCTGGCAGGGAGGTCCCAGCATGTTTCAATCTGCACCATGCCCGCTGATGGTGTCGGAAAATCTCCCCGCGGACGCACTCAGCACGTCTTGCTGTGTCAGGGAGATTTTTTTCAGCCCGCATTTCTCCTTTCTGCATTCCAGTCCTAACGCCCCTTGCCGAAGCCCTGGAGGCAGTAAATAGGAGGCAGGTTAGCAGGAACAGCCCAGCAGCCGTGATGAGGGAGGTTTCTGCTCGGGACCGCCGAGTCGGCATCCCCTTGGGATGTGCCGTGTGCCGAGGTCTTCCCCCAGGATTTATTTTTAGTCCTTTCCAATCAGGACCAATTAGCTCCATTCGCCTGCCGCTCGGTTTCTCCATTTCACCTGGGGCTGGCCGCAGGGTTTTCAGGTTTTTCTTTCCTGGGAAGAGGACCTGAAGACCGGAGGTCCTTCCCAGCTGCAGCCCGCCCGTCCCTCAGTTACGGATGTGCCTCGTGGTGCCGTGGTTTGCTGCAGCGCTTCTGAGTGTGGGCGATGATGTATTCGCTTTGGCATCCAGCTCTCACAGCCACGGGAGTGCTTTCGGAGAGCTCAGCCCTCCCTGCTGCTGTAACACAGGCTCCGTCCTCTTTTATTTCCCCAAGGACTCCTCTAGGACCCCTGTAGCTACTGCTTCCCAATCACTTTATTTAAAATTTCCCCTTTTTTTAGCCTCTCTCTAGGCTTAGTTTGCAGTGCTCTGAATTCCTGCCTGGCTCCTCCTCCCCCTTTCACTCTTCCCCTTTCCTACCTGCAGCGAGTGAGAGGCTCAACAGGACGGCTGCAGGGAAGGTCTGCAGAGCCTTGGTGTTGGTATGACCCCCGAAATAAACCCCTAAAAAACCCTAATAAACCCCTAAAGGAGGTTTTTTGCTTTCAGGAGGATGCCAACGCTTGCACCTCTGCACTAACAGTTTGCTTGGCTTGCCCTTTGAGGACAAAGGGAGCACCGAGGGGGGACATTTGTCCACCGAGCCTCTCCAAACAGCCCCTATTTGCTGTGCACTGCCCGGCTTGGTGGTCCCACAGTGCTGTGCCTGAGTGGTCCCTTTGCCATCAGGCCCTTTTACTGCACCCCAAGGCACACAGGACTCACCTGCAGTGATGGGGTGGGGTAAGGACGGAGACTGGGATGGGGCTGAAGAGGTTTGGAAGGGGCTCATGGAGGAGAGGGCTCCAAGCACTCCGAAATGGTTTTTATTCAACATATTCCCTGCTAACGCAGGAGATTTTGACATCCTAGCTAGCACAGCCTAGCTTTGATTTCTTCTTTTCCTTTTAATTTTTTTAAATAGAGGTCTGAGGTTTCTTTTATGATGCTGGAAGCTTGCAGGGACACGTGAATGACACCCTGGCATCTCCGTTTCCCCTGAGTGTGTGCCCCTGACAGATGCAGAGCCTTACAGCTCCTTGCCTTTGCCAGCGTGTTTCCAGCCTCCTCCCGTCATGTTTATCACCTCTGGAAACACCCACAGCCCTTGAATCAGTCTGTTTGCCAGGTAATTGATGTTATCAGACGTGTGTGTGTGTGTGTGTGTGTGTGTGTCAGAAGGAATTTGTCCCCGGAGCAATTAGGCCGGTTGTTTGTCTCCCACGAGATCTTAGTCAGGCCACAACCGGCCCGACCCGGGTGATGCAAACCCCGGGGTGTCATGAAATGACCGAGCACCTTTTCGTGGGCGAGTTCCTATTGCTGTTTGGCCACCAGGTTCAATCCTTCCTCCGTGTGGACACCCTGGAGTCCCCCAGTGTTTTTCAGGGCAGGTTTCTCCTCCGTGGCAGGCTGCAGCCACGCGTTGGGAATTCCTCCTTGTCTGGCCAAAGGTGGCCCCTCCTGCTGTGGGGTCAGGCAGGCACTCAGACAGCTCTGGCTCTGCCATCCCAAAGGTTTCAAGAAATGGGAACTGACCACAAAACGAAGCAGCACCGGAGGGCTTTGCCTGCCCCGGGGCTGTGGGACAGCTCACGAGCACACAACGTGCCCCATGCTCATGGTTATAGGGCAACCTCCGCCCAGCAGCAGCAGCGATGATGACGGGACACCTCCTGTCCTGTCCTTAATGACTTCCTTCCTTCCTCCGTCCCTGCCTCATGTCCCCTGCCCACCTGAGCTGAGGTGTTGTCCTTACCCGGGATGAGGAATCGCAACGTGCCCGAGGGGATAGATCCCAGCCCTGGCCACGGGACACGGCCGCTGCCCTCGTGGGTGTTGTTGCTGAGGGTGTTCTCGTATCTCAGTGCATCTGGAGATCATTTTGAGCACCCTAAAATGCCGAAGAGATGAGAGACTGCAGAAATAAATAGCATGGGGAATATTCATGCCTCCTGCAGGTGGAGGCACAAGCAGGTGACTCCGGGGAGGGAAGCAAGGAGGACCTACACCCGTGACTCCTGGGCTTGCCCAGAGGTGATGCTCTGATTTTCGCTTCCCAATTTCACACGTTGCTCTCAGGTCCCACGTTGCTGGGTGCTCCGGGGCAGGCTGGAGACAGGAGAGAAAATCTGAGTGTTTCTTACTGTGACGACTGAACGTGGGTATTTACTATTTAATATTTAACCAAAAAAATATATCATAAACGCAATTATAGCCGTAACGACAAAGAGCAAACCCAAGTGACGGAGCACAAGGAGACACCGAATGAGCCTGGAATGACTCAGGCTGCCAAAAATGAGAAAAACGCCAGCAGCGAGCGGAGCCCCGTCCCCACCTGTCCTGCTCTGACACGTTTTGGCAGCCTCTCATCGCGCCGTGACGCAGCAGGGCCGGGCGAGGACGTCCCGCAGCAGGGAGCCACCCCAGGGCTGTGTCTGGGACCTTCGCCTCCTTCTCACCCCCACCTCCTGCTTTTGCTGTCTGGAGATCCCTGTTCAGGTGTTTTATTGATTATTTGATTTGAATATCGATTGGTTATATGGGTAATGCTCAACAACACATTAATCCAACACCAGGGGGTCTCACACCGGGTAAGCTGGCGCTGTTCTCTCTTTGCAGACCTCGAGGTGTTGCTGGGGCTGCCCTGGGACCAGGTGGGACGGTAATCACCCACCTGAGGACGGCAGAAATCTTGGGGTGTGGACCTCAAACCCCAGGAGCTGGGGAGAGGGTGCTGTGGGGAGCCATCTCACCTGGCCTTACACGTACAGAAGATGAATTTGGGGGTTATGGGCAGCTCGTGGATGCTCCAAGTGTCCTGTGCTGGACACGTCGGGGGCTGCTGTGCCTTATGAAGTTGTCCCCTCCATGGTCTTTGCTTTGGCTGTGCAGTGGCGTGAGACAATGGAGAGCTGACCCCAGGGCAGTGCCAGCCTTGGAAACTGCAATACAAACAAAATGATGATCAAAAGAAGAAATGAAATCTGGAGGGATTTTCCTGCCCCGGGTCTGAGCAGGGGCTGAAAGGGGAAGCAGCCACAGCTGGTGCTGCTGTCCCCGCTCTCAGGAGAAGCCGCAGGCTGTCCCCAGGGCCAAACGCCTCGGAAACGCTGCAGGAGCAGCCCAGCCCTCTTTCTGGTCTGAAATCACACGTAAACAGCTTCTGCTGCTTCTGTGGGAAGCCTTCGTGGCCCTGCAGGTACGTGCCCACACCTGCACCCCAGCCCTGCCTGCCCAGGACACGGCTCCTCTTCCTCGGCACGAAGCACGCCAACAAGAGGGACAGGGGATGAGGAGAATCACCAAATCGTTAGGGTTGGACAAGCCCTCCAAAATCACCTGGTCCAACCATCCCCCTGCCACCAATGTCACCACTAACCCATGTCCCCAAGCACCACGTCCAGCCTTGGGGAGGAAACCTCGCACAGCGCCTTCGGCCGGGGATGAGAAATGCCACAACCTGCAGCCGGTTCCATGCGGGACGTGGCCCTGGGTGAGCTCAGATAAGCGGCACGTTTGGCTCCCACGGAGGCGTGGCAGCTGGCTGGGATCATCCCTGCTCTCGGCCACCCATGCAAATACCCAAAAGCAGGCGCTCACGAGTAGCCCTGAGGCGTCTCTGATTTGCTTAGCGGTAAGGAACGCTCCTGTCTGACCAGAAAACGTCCCCCTCGGAGGTTTTCCCCTTTTTAGCAGCAAACTTCCAGCTTTTCCCAGGGGCTTTGGAAAAGCTAATGCTGAAATCCCAGCCTCCGTTTTAATAACTAATTAAAGAGCTCAGCCAGGAGCTGCTGCGTGTGCAGGAATCCAAAAACCTGAACGGAACAGTGGCAGCCATCACCCAGAGCCTCTGCGGCGCATGAACGAGAGAGCAGAAACATCTGCTCAGCATGAGAAGGTCAGGAGAGGCTGGTAGCCCTCTGCCAAAGCCAGTCTAGACCAGGAAATTAAAAATGCCTGAGGGTCTGGTGTCCCCTGGGTCACTCCAAATGGAGACTGTGCCCTGGGTGCCCTGCACCTTCTGGGATGTGGTGCGGGTGAGCCCTGAAATAAAGCCAGGCTTGGTTTTATTTGCAGGACTGCGCAGCCAGATCACCTGGGAAAAAATAAAATAAAATAAAATAAAATAAAATAAAATAAAATAAATAAAATAAAATAAAATAAAATAAAATAAAATAAAATAAAATAAAATAAAATAAAATAAAATAAAATAAAAAGACCTCAGCTGGGCAGCAAACTCATTGCTCACTGGCAGGTTCCTCGGGTGAATCTGGAACAGCCCCGCAAGGATGAGTGGGGCGCAGTTTGTGCTTCAGGCAGGCAGGCATCTCGCCAGAGCCAGTGCTCTGCGGGCATCGCTGCCAGGCAGAGCGATAAATCCTTCAGCTGCAAGGGGACCGAAATTTACCTTCCTCCCTGCAGCCCTCGGTGACTCTGCTCCCAGCCTGGCTATCCAACCCTGCGCCTGAGCCATACCCGTGCGCCTTCCTTCTCCTGCCCCTTTCCGTGCACGCTGGTGTTTTACTGAGCTCGGATGTTTGCTCGCACTCCATCATTTACCTTCTGTGCCCTGAATCTGGTCTCGCATCATCTCCCTGGGGGCTGAACTCGGAGCTGGGGCCAGCAGGGAGGAGCGGGGCGGTGGGGTGAGTCACGGGGCTCCTCCGCTCTCCTCGGGTTTTAAAATAAGGCGGTGAGTAAGCCGGGTAACACCCGGCTTAAAACACAACTCTGCAGCTAAAAAGAACAAAAAAAAAAAGCAGATTGTGGGTTTGGTATACTGTGTGCTTGCTTCTTATTGCTGCTGGTGTGTGTGCCGTAGGCACTTGGTGTACGTGTCCGAGACGAGTGGGTGATAAATGAAAATATCGCATCGCCTCGGCTCCCCGAGTGCACCCCGTGAAAGGCAGGTGCGGGAGGGGGGAGATGGACAATTTCACTCCTCATTACCTGCCTAATGATCAATAAAGCCTCGTAAGATGCTGAGGCGATGCTCAAGCAGAGCAAGTGGGAGGGCTGAGAGGGTTTTTGTGTTGCAGTGGGGTTTTGGAGAGCTGCCTGCCAGCTGGATTCGGTGCTGTCCTATGAGCAAAGGCGCGTCCCCGTGCCCTTGCTGCTGGACCAGGGGCTGGGCTGGAGCTGGTCAGCTCCTGCTGGGGGCTGCCAGTGCCACACAGAGACCTCCTGGGCACGGATTGATGTAGATTTAGGTATATAAATATAGATGTATCCCTCACGGTGTGTGGATCCTGCACAGGTTTCTCCCCGGCGCATCGCTTTGGAGAGATGTGGGCTGCGTTCCCTTGGTGCTGGCTTTGTTCTCGATTTGGCAGGGGTAAAAATAGTAAAAGGGAAAGAAAGGGAGGGTGTGGGAACTGTCTCCCTCTGGCTGCGTGTCCCCCTCACGCAGAAGAGGCCTTCTGTGACCTGTGGGCTCCTGCGTGGCCGTAACCATTTCTACATGGGTCACTGGACACATTCCTTGGGGAGATGTCCCCTCGGTGTGTCCCCTGGTCCTCCTGTGCCCTCCAGCATCCCCCGAGGAGCCCTGCCCGACTCGCAGACCAGTGTGAGGCCGTGACAGTGCTCCTGGGGCTGGCACCATGCCCACGGCACGGGGACAGGGCACAGACACACTTCTGGAATTGCCCTCAGGGCGCCCCATCCACAGCTGTGACGGTGCCGGTGACCCGGCCAGGTGATCTCCTTGAGATGAAATCCTCAGCCCTGGTGAAACAATTAGAAACGCCAGTTACAACCCCAAAAACGCGGCCCCGAGCGTCTGGCAGGCTGTAATATTTTTAGAGGTCCATGCTGAGAGAGAGCAGCGGGCTCCCTACCACCAGCTGATCGTCTCAGCTCAGAAGCCCGACGTGAGCAGCATGCAGATGGCACGCATCAGGCACGGCTGCTGCTGCGCCTGGTGCTGGGGAAGCCACGGCTGCTGGGGTGGAGAGGATTCCCTCGGCTTGCAGGAAGGCAGACGGGGCTCTGGGACCTCCTCCAGCAAATCAGAAACGCCACAGCCCCACGGTGCAAGGAGCTTGTCTGGAATAAGCACAGCCTCCTGCAGGGAAATGGGTTTTGAGGAGCTCCTGCACAGGCTCCGCTTCCGTACAGCAAAGCAAATTTGGTACGGGTGCAGCCAGGGAGGCAGGAGCTGCCTGTGCGAACTTGGAAACTCATGAGGGAAAAAAAAAAAAAAAAAAAGGAAAATCTGGTGTTAGGTTTAAAATAAACAACGCTCAGCTATATTTTGCAGTTATTGTTATTCCCAGGCAAAACCAGCAGCAGGCTCATCAGACTGAATCATTTCAGAGCTGTAGTCAAGACTGCTGCTTTGCTTTTCCTTGCTGTCAAAAATCAACCAGCAACAACATTTACTCTTCTTTGTTCTTTTGCAGTAATTTTTTTTCATGTGAATAATGAAACTGTAGATCACAGAATCATTTAATCTGGGGCTAGCTTCAAAGACCAGCCCAGACTTTCGGTTTTGTACTTTGGCCACCAAGTAGGCTCCTGCTGAAGGTGACCCACGCGTGGCCAGACCTCACCTCCTCAACAAGCTCCCAGCAAGCAGATATGTGCTAGCCACAGAACTAGGAGGGAAAAAGCCATTTCTGCTTCAATATTTGGCTTTTCGGGAAGCCTAAAGACTGTATTTGCTGAGAACGAGATGAAGAGGATGACCTGGGAAATGAGACAGCAGGAAGAGGACATAAAGTATTAAAGATATTCAGCCTCGGGGGAAAGGTATGGACAAATGCTCCCTGGAGGTATCAAGAAACTTCAGTTTGCATTTGCAACAAGGATCTCCTAAGACTTAAGTGAAAAAACATGGCTGGACCCACTGCCTGGTGCTGCTGGAAACCCTCAGTTCCCATCCCGTGCTCTGGGGGCAGCCGGCCACATCTCCGCCGTGGTGTTTGGTGGCTGCTGGTACGAGGGCTTGTGGCTGCACCAGTGTCACGGCTGAACTGCAGGCAGTTGCCATAGAAATCGAGGACACGTAAACCTGACTTCAGCAACTGATAGCCTTTGCGGTTTTTTTTTCCTCTCTTTCTTTTCTTTCACACTAAATAAGGCTGATTGTGGAGCTAGGCCTGCTTTTCTGAGGAGCTGGACTGGGAAGCTGTGGCATTAAGTTGGTGGTTTCAGAGGTTGGTGCTGCAAGTGGCCTTGGCTGTGCTTACAGAGAACGGAGCTGGTGATGGAGAGAAGGTGGAGAAGGCTTTTGCTCAGCTGGGACCTCGCAAGGCTCCTGGTGAGACATGGCAGAGGGGAGAGCAGACCCTGCTCTTACCCGGCACCATCTCCTCGCCCCCAAAATGCTGACCTTGTAACAGCAGGAACGTTTCTTCCCCATACTTTCACGGCAAACACTGTGCATTACAGCTTGCAGTGACCTGATCTGTAAGTATATCACTTCGAGTCTTCCTGTAGAGTGTGGATAAAAGCAGTATATGGCCTTATTCACCTCCAGTAATACCGGCTGCTTGCTCATGGTGGATGCTGCACTTGGCCATGATATTGAAACGTGAGACCCCACTGAGAGGGAAACCCCCAAGAAGAGGAATCCCTTTGCCACATTTCCCAACTTTTCTCAGCGGGTGTGAAACCAGAAGCGAGGCTCTGCCCACCTTAGCAGCTCCTCGCTCACCGTGAGTCCCGCCGTCAGTGTCAAAGGAAACGAGTGCCTGCCCGGCAGCACGGGAACACATTGCACAACCCGTCCTAAATACAAACCGGACATGGCAGATAAAGCCTCCACCAAATATAATTGCAGTAGCTTGGGGGCCCAGCCAGCTCGTGTTAATGTCAGTGGGTGGCGGGTCCGGGTGGCTGAGCCCCACGAGCTGGCATGGTGCTTGGGGGCACCCAGCTCCATGGTGGGCACCGTGCCTGGCCCGGGGTGTCTGTGTGAGCCGGGAGGTGAAGCGCCTTTGGAGGGGGAAATTTGGGTAATTGCATCCTGGGGAACCAGGCTTCCGGAGCGTGTAATTGAGCTCCAATTAAATTGCTCATCAGCAGGTAGGTATTTGCTAGGAGTCACACTGCTGACGCTTCCCCGTGCTCGTGCTTTGTTCTTCGGCATGTTACTGAGTGTAAGGTTAAGGTAGGGAGCAGCCATCAGCCCCGTCTCAACTCCGGACCTGGGCTTCCAAATCCAGCCTCGCAAGATGTCGGAATGACTTTGGGCTGGAGGGTTCAAGCGAGGTTTCTCTGGCACAGCCTTTTTCTGACTCGCCTCCAGCATGATGTGTTGCTGGCTGGGGAGGACTCCGGACACCCCAGCCAGGGTCTGGCACACCTGAGCCTGAGCACTCAGGGATGATATCGAGCCTGCCTAGATAATAATAAGCACTTTTCTTTGGTGATGGTTAGAGCTTATTCATAAATATTACTAGAGGAATGCAATTTTCCTTGGAAAAATAAAGGACTTTTTTAATAAAGCTTTAATTACTATGTGTCACAGCTCTTTCTTAAAGTGCAAATATTGAATTTCAGTGCGAATTGTGTTTTTAGGTGACTAAGAGGGTATCGAAAAACTCACTTTGTGATTTTAAGGGATGCGGGAGAGAGGGTGCAAACAAAGAGCCCGTCAGAAAAGCATTTGTAAGCATTCAGCGCTGGCTGTGCAAAGAGATTAAAGCAGGAATCTGAAGCGGAGCTCCTTTATAAACCAGCCTCGCCAGATTAAAGCACAAATCCCAAATTTTATAGGCAGCCCACTTCAAGTTCCGAGTCACATGCTCGATCCATTTTTAATGGCACTATTTTTTGCTGTCAGAGAAACATCAGTCTCAACAGCCTATAAAATTAGCAAAATCCCTCTCCTAAAGATAAAAACTGGAGCCCGAGCTGCTTGGGGCACGGATGGCCAGGCCACCGCCACACCAAGAGCCAGGTCTCAGCGTGGCCACGGCTGGAAGAGATGTCCTGTGTCACCAAGGGGATGCTCCTGCCCCCTTCCCAGACTGCTTTCAGGTGCGCTTCCAATTTTCGGGCCCTGGTCCCTCATGGCCTGTGCCTCTCCACACAGAGCTCCACCTTGTGCTACTGCATTAAGACATCAGGAAATTATGGAAAATGAAGCCTAGGTCAAAGGAACTGAATAGGAGGAGGAAGCTCAGCAAGGGCTGAACTCGTGCAAGGAAATGCAGCCAGGAGCTGGTGCTTCATGAAGCTTTCAGTGGAATACACCACTTCTTTTCTCTCTCTTTTTTTCTTTTTCTCTACATCTTCATTATTGATCTGTGTGAGGAGAGAGTTGTGAACATGTGAGAGCTGGCAGTATCCCCCTCCTTCACCTGCAGTCCCTGTCTCCATCATAATTTCTGGCTTTCTTTGTGCTTTTCTGCACAGCTCCACTTAAGGCAGAGTGGTTGCTGGACAGAGAAACAAGCTCTGGCTCCTTCTCCAAGCTTAAACGAACTTCCCCTCATTAGGAATATCACCTGCAATGGCACTTCAGCCATTCACATAGTGAATATATGGGAGGATGCTTTCCCAGGGGGGTGCAAAGCTGCCCCAGGTGGCCCCATGTCCTCAGGAGGTCTTCTGCAGCCCTGGATGTCCAGGGGAACCTCATGGCGTGTCAGCGGTGGGTTTTGGTGGAGGTTTCCAAAGCAGTGGAAAAACTTTCACCTCAGCCAGTTTTGTGTGGGTATGTTATATTGCCATGTTTTTGCTCAAAACAGCCTCTTCTGGGACATGGCAAAGACTGC